GAAAAACCGTTGTATGTCATCGGAAGTTCATAGGATTCCGACACTGAGGATCCGACATCGATTCCTCGATCCGGAATCCAATAGAATTGTATCGGATTGTAGGATATTTCCAGGTTCCTATCGGATCCGATGTCGGATCAGTCGACCTGGGTATAGGCATTCCTAAAATATCCTTGATTAAACTCTACAACTTATTTTCTAGTTTACAGTGCATGTCTACTCTAGAAACATCACTGAGTTTTAAAAAACGCATTATCTTTCATAATTCTTTAACTACTAGTACAGCTTCTGTCTGACAAGGCAGCGTGATTTGTGACGAACTACTTTAAAATTTGATATGATCAGAGCGTCGGCATGAATATCTCTAGCACAAACTGTGCTGCTTCATATTCACGAGCTATATAAATTACTTGAAATCCAATGCAAGCACAGTTTTTTTACCCAGACAAAATTTTCCTACTCCGTATTTGAATCAAAATTGGATCTCAAATAATTAATTTCTTACGAATCTCGCTTGTGCCCCTATAAATAATATAAAGGCTGCCAGTTCCCATCGACAAATTGTTCATGATTTTATTTTGGTTTACAAATTTTAGTGTGTCCATGGATGGCGATCAAGTTCCATGCCAATTCAAGAATTTACAGCTAAAACCAAATGCAGCTTGTAGAATTTACGAGAATATACGAGCAAAATTAGTATCGGCCAAAACGAATAAAAACGTTCCATTAGAAAAATCTGATATCGAACAAACGAGCAGTTATGATCGTAAACTAGCATATTTTATACGATTTCATCTGCGTGATATATTGACAAGTGATTATCGTCAAGTTTGGTTTAATATTCAGACGAAAGCACTTGAGGATATTGAAGATCGTACTCAAATTATAAAGCAAACATCTGATGATATTGTCGTAGTTTATAGCTTGGGAGCCATGCTCTCATACGATGTTTTTACTGGACATATAAATGAGCGAACTCTCGCTAATATTTACGTTCAAAAATTTCCTAAAGCAATTAAATTAGAAACGGCAACATATCATTTGACAGTTCATTTCAAAAACATTGATTCACAAATTTTAATCAATCATTCAACGAGTGATAACTCAATTCAAGTTATTTTTATGCTGAAAGCGCCACCAACCTTTGTAAGAAAGGGAGAAACAAAAAAGTGGTAAGATATTTTTATTATATAAAGAACTTGGCTATTAGCTTGCATATGATTCAGTTTCTAATATTTCACTATGATCAAAAAGGTGTGTCAAAATTTTAATTGGTTCTTTTCATAGACAAATATATAAAAACAAATTTTTTCTGAAAGAATGTTGATTGTATCGGGATTCGTTATTTTCTCTCGCCTTTTCTGCTTCGAACATTTTTTAAACAAGTAAATGGAAAACAAAAAACATAATAGCTCAGAATATGAATGTATCAATGTGAAAGGGCCATTTTGCTTTTGTTTACTGATTCGATACATAATAAATATTTATTAAAAATTCCATATAAAAATAAGAAACTGTCTAACAATGAACGAAATCCAAATTAGTCATTGGCATGAAATGTCAATGCATTAGGCATAGGCATTACTAATAATTTCTTCAGTTAGGAACCAAAGAAAACGGTGCTCATAGATCTTAATTCTATATTTCAAATTGAATAAAGACTGCTATAGATAAAAACTTCTAGAAACATAAATCTAAAAAGGCTAGAATGAGCACACACAAAAACTCTATGCACGCTATTTTCACGGATTTGAAATACACAACACAATGCGATAGTTGTTGTTGTTGTTAGTCACAAGGAAGATTTTTATTCTAATTATTAAGGAGCACAATTTTTCACTGAATTTTTAGTTAATACTTTAAAAATGAAATTAGCGTAATATTCTATATTTTAAAGCGAGATCTGAGGGTACGAGTGTAGATTGTTCGAATCTCCATCCGTATACCCTGTCCTAACCGAAAATAGTGCTAAGAATATAATAAAACTATTAATCTGATTTGTACACTTCTAGCGATCATGTTCAATTCATGAATAATCTACCACTATGTAGTGATTTACTTGTACGATTTTTTCCGGCCCATACAGCATGGAATTTTTTACGTAATTTACCCATTGCTGGATATTCTCGCAGAGCATCTGATGATATATTTCATATAAATTTTTCTTTATTTCGTTGGCAAAAAGATTCGAGTAGTCTTAATTCAATGTCTATGCCAACATGTGCATCTAATTCAGATTCGTATGGCATTGAAATGCTTTGGTCATTGGGCTATTTATTTCAAGATAAATACAATGAAGATTCTCAATCAATATTTGGTAATCGACAAAAAGATTCATACAATTTATGTTGTAAACTCTGGCGTAACTTAAAACAGAATCATTGCTATGGAATTAAGGATGCATTTAATGATACAGCTTCAATAACGGGTCAAACAACTTCGAATATATCATCAAATCTAACCGAAGTGATATTTGCTATAATAACACCAAACCGTATTGAATATCAACCTAAACAAATGACACGATGCTATCGAGCATTTGACTTGTATCCTGCAGAGAATTGGTTACTTGTTCACATACGTGATTACAACGGAATAGATAAAGTTAATCATTTAGATTTACAAACGAGAGTACGTTTTAGAAATTTGATGATAAAAGGTATTCCTCGTGGTAAACGTTATTTTAAATATTTTGGATCATCGGGCAGTCAAATGAATGATCAGGCTGGTTGGTTTTTATCACTTCCTCCCAATGAAACCATAGAATCAGCACGACAAAGAATCGGTGATTTGTCGAAAATATTCAACGTATCGACTTATATTTCACGAGTTGGTCTTTACCTAACAACATTGAAATCGCAAGGGGTAATAATTGACAAAAAAAATCGGATTCCGAGTTATCATTTTCATTAAATTTCTAAAAGATTGTTGTGAAATCTAGATCAATTTAACTTATATACCTGAGTCAAACGACAACAATGAAATGTCGTATTCAACAAGAGCATCTAATATATTTTCACGTTTGACAGCGAGAGTCAGACGGCTGGTAAGACGAAGCTCTAAATAATAACTCGCTTTTCAGTAACTATTTTATTTAGTTTTATAAAACTGAAAATGTGACAATACGGTACACGGCTACCATCATTAGAGATATTGAAAATGACGGATTTTGTTTCACTGATGGATGTGGTAAAATTTCGCTTGGTCTTGCCAAACAGATTGCGCAAAGCATGGGCATTGGAATTCACCAAAAAGTAATTTATTTTTATATATTATGAATTTAACTCACATTATTAGACTTTAGTCTGATATACCATCAGCTTTTCAAGTTCGAATAGCTGGATGCAAGGGAATGCTATCGATTGATCCTGAATCGAAATCAAATGAATTCTATATTAAAGTTCGCAAAAGTATGGTCAAATTCGACAGTGATGATTGGACGCTGTATGTAGTTGACCATTCTCGACCTAGTAACCAGTTCTTGAATAATTGAATTTTTTGCACATACTCAATTCGTTGTTTTAAATATTTTTATAGTGCCATTGAGCTTGAATAATCAAGTTATTCGATTATTGAGTGATCTAGGCAATAGTAATGGCGTATTTGAATCGATTCAAATGGATTGTATTGATCGAAAAGAGTTTTGGCATCCACCAGCACACTGCTATTTGAATGCGCTAGATTCTCTTGATCAGTCGAAAATAAACGAAATGCAAATCAAATATAAAAATGCGTAAGCTTTATACAAAGAATATTAGATGAACAATAATGTGTATATGATTGAGATTTGAAGGAAAAATTTTCTTATTCGGAACAAAATTCCATTGCCATTAAACGAAGCTCGAAATCTATTTGGTATCGCCGATGAAACTGGAATATTAAAACCAGGAGAATGCTTCATTCAATATCGTAGCCTAAAAGATTCGTCAACGTTTGACCAATATGTAGTAGTAACAGGTATAGATTTTTATGTTTCATAATTCTATCAATCAATTGAATCATCTTTGTAGGTACTGTGTTAGCAACTAAAAATCCATGTCTCTATCCTGGAGATATCCGTAAACTCAAAGCAGTGGATGTACCAAAGTTGAAGTCTTGTATACGTGACTGTATTGTATTTTCTAGTCAGGGCCGTCGACCTAGTTTCAATGAAATGGCTGGATCTGATCTCGATGGAGATCAATATTGGGTTTATTGGGGTGATAGATTTCGAGTAGACGTAGAGATTGAACCATTATTGTATCCATCGACTAAGAAAGCTTTTTCCGATAGAATTACCGATGATCTCATCGTAGATCATGTACTTAATACATTTACGGACACAGCACCCGGTATTATCGCTAATACACATTCAGTCATTGGTGACAAGCACTCCGCTGGCACATTTTCGAAAGAATGTGTAGAATGTGCCAAGCTCTTCGCGCGAGCAATCGATGCACGCAAAACTGGTGAAAATATTAATATGACCCGTATTAAAGAACTTAAAGAGAAGTATGGGCAAACTTATCCAGGGTGGATGATGAAATTTGACAAACCGATTATGGATCCACCAAGTACATCAATTAATGAAATTCTTCACCGGAAAGCTCAAGAAGCATGGATAGATCCAAACACCTATAACGATATTCTGCGATATTTTCCACTAGTGCAAAATCCTGCGGATTTAGTGGCAATTGATCTTGATGAATCAGATAGACCTTTAGAACAACAACGTACTGAAGATAATTCAAGCGGTTGTTGCTGTTTATGCGTTTGCATAATCATCATCATCATAGTTATCGTCGTGGTATTCTTACCTTATAAAAAGAAAATTTGAACTACATGTAGATTGCTGAACTTAACTTTTATACCTATATTATAAAAATAAATATTTCTAGCTACACTAAATATTACTATACATCGTAGAATATGAAAAATAGCCCAACAACAATCGCTTTCTATTTCTTATCCAGTAGATTTGCCACTCGTTATACTCGACGAGTTTGATCTAATATTGAATTTTCAAAGTTCAATATTCCTCTCTAGAATCCTTTCATATTCTGGAGCCAAACCCAGAGTTATTGAGATTCAAACTATCATAAACAGATTCTTACGATCTGACGGACATATAAGTCTAACTCTATCAACAATTACGCTTTTACAATTATTTGATAAGAAGATGTGGATTTTGCATGAAATGCTTTGCAAATGAATATAAGCACCGTCTGATGAAAATTGGCTTCGTAACCCTTAAAACAGCTTTTCTTTAAAAATTATCTTACGTAAGTAAATTATGAAAAGATAGGTCTGGTACGAATTGACGATTAATTTAACCAGAATTTTATTTTCCATACGAATATTCAAGAAATATTAGACATCATTTTTTTTCTCTATAATTAATAAAATACACACGATAAGTAGCATAGTGAGAGTTTATTTCTTTATATTTTCAAAATTTTCACTCATATCGTTTTTAATTGAATTAATGAAATTGTCTTTCAAATTTTTTTCTATTCGAAATACAACTTCAGCTCCATTTCTATCACTTGGCAGCCATTCATTCTCATTATACACTGGATTTTGACGAAATACTCGTAAATAAAATGTACCTGACCAACCTGTATGAAATCGGCATCTATCTTTATAACCAAAGTCAACTAAATTCGCCCAATCATATCTTAAATTTGAATTGACAATAATTTCATTTGGAAAAAATCCTAAATCAGCGAGTTGATTATTATGAATCATTTTTCTCATGGCATCATCAGCAGTTGCTAACGAACGTTCAAGATAGTTAGGGTCACGTGATTTAATAATCGATTGACGAATTGTTTTGGCAATATTTGATAATGAATATGAATCTTCAAAATTATCTGATAACATCAAAAATACTGCATTACTTATTTGACCGTATGAAGCAATCGAATCGGATACACCACGAAAATTGATTGATGTTTTTGTACGTAGAATATGACGTTCATCATTATTAGGATAACAATATGTATTCAAGGTAAGAATAATATAAGCTGTTAGTGCATCGTGCATTGTTATATTGTTCTCTTCGCTAGCTAGACTTTGTAATTTGACAAGTTGTTCACTAGAAAAAATTAAATTAACTTGATCGTAAAGTTCTTGATCAACCATAAATTTTTTCCACATCACTTCGAAAGGTTTAGCATCTAGAAAATGTTTCATACTAGATAAAAAACAAGGATTAGCATCATCAGATTTCCATAAACGTCGTTCAAATATTGGTAATGGCTCAGCAGGTTCCATTTGTTGATATAAACGAGAGAGTGTATTTAAAAATCTTAAACAAGAATCAGCATCACCTAATTCATGTGCCCAACTTATACCTAATATCCATTCATTACTTTGTATAATATGAGTTAGTTTGAATCGTACAAGGGGTTCATTTTCTGTATTATCAAATAGTTTTGATACTTGTACTTCGTCAATATATGGCGAAAGAGAATTTTTGCAAAAATCTATCACTACATTTGAATCAAATGGCCATCGAATTAAATCATTATTTCTAACTAATGTCACTGGTATCGGATTATCAGACATTTCAATAATATAATGTTCGCCATCATCTAAACGAAAACGGCCAGCAACTACAGACCACAACGAAAGCGTACGACTCAGTGCTTCAATGAAACAATCAATATTGATTTCCGAAGGATAAACAAACACATTATCGATACGTGCCATTTTCCATAGATCGAGACCAGCTATTTCTAGACGACGATTATTACCTGCTGGTGAAGCAGGATAAATGAGAAAAACAGTTGATGCCATTTGAATTCAATCGTCCAATTAAAAAATAAATGATAACTTTTATGATAGGGTACACACTTTTTTATAGATCTGTACTGTAATTTTGTAATATTGAAACCAGTCTTCGAAAGAATATCTTATTTAGTATCATGACGCGCATTTATTTTTATCTTCAATTGCAAATGTATCTTATGACATCAGTACGGTTAAATATAGATATTAAGACACTCAAATAGAACAAGTGTTTCATAGAGGGCGTTTGTCATATAGTCTGCACACTAACTAACTAACGGGTTATTTTTTATGGCTAGATCTTATGTTTCGGAGAAGATTTGTTTTTGAATATGACACACTAAATTGAAAAAAGTCTAATATCTTCTACCAGTCAACTATATCCTTTTAGCAGCCAAGATTCGAAAGCGAAATTTCGAACCTAGAGTTTATTCCTTTGATGCAACTTTTTATTTGTTATAAGCTAGCTGAAAATTTTAAGAACTAAATTTGATATTCAGGTCAAATTAGAGTTCACATGTTTCTTCCAATCGATAATGATTCGTCAATCAAAGAAAAATAAAGCGTTGTTAACAATTTCTATTGCCATGAAACCATTGGAAATCAAAATGATTTTGACCTTTGATGTCAATGGCAAAAAAAATATATTGAATCATATATACTCTAGAGAAATTCTTTTGGTGAAAATGACTGATCTCTAGGTACTATACAGTTTAAATCTTCAAAAGAATATATCCGTAGGTTAGCATAGTTTAGTTTTTCGCTGAAAACAAATAGTTCGTAAAATGCATAGTAATTCTGTGTAGTGTTGTTTTTAACACTGCCTACAAATATTCTATGTATTCTACTTTACGGATGTGTGATTACAACGAAAATCACTAAAGCAAAGCTTTTTCTGCATTGAACCATTTATCATGTATATAACACATGTTAAACTTTCTCCCTAACGTATCAATTATCTGTGAATATTTTTTGTCTCATGTCGTAGTGAAAACAAAAAAGGGATACGAGATTCATCGAAAAACAGTCCTAGTTTTATTTATGTTTCTATCCCTTCGTATTAGTGAAAAAAGAGAGAAAAAATTGCTATAGATTAATTTTAGAAAGAAAATATTTAGTCTGATAAAACATTAGGGTTCATATTTTCAGTCATCGATGCATCTGATACGTGCGAAAAATATTTTTCTATTCACTGACTTGTTTACTGTCATGACACTCAATGATTTCATCATTCCTCTAGTAATAATCTCAATCAAATAAAATACAGTTTCCTTTCAAAATTAGAAAATAACTAGAAATAAATATTTTAACCATGGTCATTACAAAATATGTTTCCTATGACTGTTAAGAAACAATTTCAATTCCTGAAATGATATTTAATATGCATTGCATGATTATTATAATGTGATGTTTTTATGAAAACAAAATGTAACAGTCAATATATTACAATCAGATAATGTCATTACAGTTTTTTAAGAAATAGTTTATTTAATTTTCACTACTGGTCTTTGATAAATCTCTGGTAAAAAAACTATACATCAAAGTACAAAATATGGTATCCATTTATTCAACAAATCCACAGTCGACACGTGGTGGCACATGACTAAAGTCAAGTTTTTCATCGCGAATCGCTATATTTTCACCACCGGCTGGTTTATAATCAATATTAGCCATTGAATCAACTTTCGATTGAGCATTCCATTGTAATTTTTCTGATTTTACGTTAACACGTGGTGCCGGAGGAGCCCAACTAGCATTCGCTAATGAATTTATTTTTGGTGATGCTTGCCATTGTTTAGGCTGATCGAGAATAGCCACTTGACCACCACCAGGACGATAATCACGATTCGATAAGGAACCTACTTTTGCTGAAACATTCTTATAGTTGCCATCGATTTCCGAACGAATTTCAATATCATTTCGTTTAGGTGCCCACCATAATTTGCGTTGCTAAAATAGAATCTTAGTTTTGTTTAAAAAAAAAAAACAAATAATCAATGAAATGTTTTTTTTTGTAATTTGTATACCCTTTTCTCACTATCTTCGGAAGTTCTTCTTGTGGCTTTTGATGGCATCTTATTTGAAACGATTGGAGCTGGTTTTTTTGTTGCCGTAGTACTCATTACTATTGTTATATATTAATGAGGTAGTATTACGAGAGATTTATTGTGTCTCAATAAGAAGCGAACAAAACGTCTCAAAGTCAATGTGTTTGTTAAGTGTTGACGAGGTGCACTCGTTGTTGGAAGCTATCGTTGGGCGTTAAACGTTTGCTTTTTTTATTATGTTCGATGTTTTGTTTGATGTTATTGGTTGCTGATGTACACGTTTCGTTATAAATGTCGTTTTCCGATGACGATGAAGAAACAAACGCGAGCATCTAATGTTTGTTGTAATGCATTAAGTGTTAAAACATGTGTACGATGTGTCGGTTTTTTATTTTCACTTAACTAATGGATAGAAAGAGAAGAAAAAGACTGTCGGTCTGAAGCACATTCGTTAAATTGTCGATGAACGGTGTAATGCCATCAAATAGAAACGTTTGTTGTTGTTATTTGTACAAGTAGAATAAAAGAATCTTTCAATTGTTGTTATTTCTTTTTATGAATAAATAAAAAAGAAAAGCGAAAAGAATTGACAGAACGATAGAAACAAATCGAGTGTTATTGTGATCGAAAATCATCGCTTAGATAAAGACGCAATAGAAGTTCAAATCAATATATATATATATATATACTGCAGAAAGATAAGTGCTCTCAATAAAAAGAATATATACCAAACCGTTGTCTTTTCTTGGTAAGAATTCACAGTACAAATGCAAGTCGATAAATTTAACAATGACAACGATTGAATTTTAGGTCTGTTGAAATTTTTACAGCTTAGTATTTTCAGCAGTTATATGAGTATTTATCGACTCGTTCACTCTGAAGATAAGCGAAAGTATTATGAGAAAAAACGGCATATGTTTATATTTATCCATAATAAAAACAAGCGTTAAAGAAACGCTTTTGATTCAATAGAAATGACGCTTATGAAAAGTTTGCTTCTTATTAATATTATTTTTATTTCGCAAACTATTGAAGATCAACTATCGGAAAATGTTAAATTAAATGTAGCAGACAGTTGGTGTTGTAAAATCGAGCCTCCAATCGAAACAATATCACAAACTCGACAAATAACATATTATGTGAAAAAAAGAATTCAACAATTGTTAATTTTCTTATTTACGTATTTTATTTAGGTACTTCGACATGAACGCCACAAATGTGGATACTACGGATGTGGTGTTCTCAATTTGGGCCGATGTACTAAATGGTGTTCAGAAACTTGGACTGAAGCGGTAGATGGTGTTGAAAATTATTTAGTGAATAAAACTCTTCCTTGTCCTAAGAATCAACGTCAATGTTGTCCTAATCATATTTTTATTATGGGCCATTGTCTGTCATTTGCAGAAGTTCATGATAATCAAAATTTATTAATGGAATTGAATGAATTAAACATTGTTATGTCAGGTCCTATCGACATTTGAAATAGAAAATGAATACATCGAGGAGATTTTTATGTTGCTATCTACACTCTTCAACATGAAAATGAAATAAAAAATAATGAACACAAATATAATAATAGATTCTGTGAATTTTCTGGAGTTACTCCAGTTGATGATAGTGCTTGAGTTGTCATAAGGGAATAAGGCAGATAAACTGTAGATGAAATGATAATTGTTAAGTTTAGCGGTGATAATGAATTTCCAATTTTTATTTTGCGACTATAAATTGTATTACTTTGATAAAGTACCTGAAATATATGTTATAAAGGATAAAAATCAAGAGTATCTCAAGTCAATTTTAAACGCGTTGCATTCTAGCGAATAGCTACTGTAATCTGTATCCCGAATAGATTTTTTGGTGATATATGAAATTATCATCTCAAAATCTTAAGAAATACATCTCGACAAGCTGTATTCGATGATCTTGGCAAGATGCTATACTGAGAGAACTTGCACAATATAGCTAAAATTTTATAAATCTTCCAAAGGGAAAAGTCGCCACACCAAAAGAAGACGAACTTTGATAGAAAATATAACAGAGAACTATGTCTATATTATCATATAATCAACATATCAGCAATATCGCTTCTTTAAAATGAAATAAAGATCTGTAAGTACATATAAATCTAGTTTGAGATATACTTTTGGGATCCTCTGTATTTATCATTCTTATCAAACTGACTTACTTTTTTATCTATTCATCTTGTTTTGATTGTTAGATATCTTTCAAACAATAATGAGTCATTTTCTATCAAAACTTTGCTTTGCTCTGTAAAATTCCTAATTCTACGTTCCGAGCCGAATGTGTACAATAGTAGATCGTTTACAGAAATTCACGGTAAAAAATAGTTTGATTTTTTTCCGTCAAAATATTGGCTGTGAAAATAAATTTTATTGATTCTCATCGTTCTACCTACTCTACGAAAAATCTACAAATCCTCTGTCAATATTAGTTCGTCTTTCGATGCACAAGATTCTATGCATTAATAGACAGAAATTTTATCCTAAGGTGAAAATACTTCCAAGTTACTTGTAGCAATCACATCGCTGCCCGAGAAAAGGTACTGTGCCATCTCAAAATCGATTTCTTAGAACAAGAATCAACCAGTTCGAAACAGAAAGTCTTGATTCAAAAGTGAAAATACAAATAATAAAAAAGTTATAGGCTTTTAGCTATGCAATTGACTAAGTGCAAGACTGCATGAATATAAAAACGAGTTTGCTTTTCTTGCAAGAAAAAAATGATGAATTTTAAAATAGTTTCAGAACTTCTAGAATATCATTTCTATCTTAACTTCCCCTCGAGTTTTCTTAAAATCGATTTCAATTACCTTCAAAGTATAAGTTCCAGGTAATAATATTCTCCAAAATTCACCTAATGGCGTCACGTTAACAACAGGCTGCCTATTGTCAATCATGACTTGAGTCGATGGTATTGGTTTTGAATATTCATTCAGTATTAAGCCTTTCACACCTAAACTACAATCTTGAGACAAACTAGAAGTTGTTCTTTCTTAAAAATCCAAACCTCGTTGTGCTTGGAATAAATGTTGAAGCATTGCATCACGATTGTAATTCCAATAACTAGCAAGAAGATTACCGCCGGGATATTTACAGCATGATATTTCCATTGTTAATTCTATCGTACCATAATTCAAATAGCCATAATCTTGCATACCACCAATCACCTCATACCAATCAGCGCCACGTGTAACAAAAGCCGTATCGATGAATTCACTTAAGCAATTTTCATTTACTTCTTGTGTTAGGTTAATATAACTTCGTGCTATCATTTGATAGATATCGTCATCATCACTTGCTGAATCTGATCCAACATCTATAGAAGAAAGAAAGAAAGAAAGAAAGCATTTAGTTTCAATCGTAAGATTCGATAATATCGTACAATAACGATCATACGGTGTATTAATAACAAATGCGCCTCCATGATAATTAGCTGAAAGAACAAATGGTACTTTCGCGAGCCAAGACATGATTGCACTTGTTTCTGGTGCTCGAGTCGATGATTGAAGTGCAGCACCGTAATAATCAGGAAAATTTCGATTTAAATCAATATTATTTAAATTATATCTAAAATAGTTTCATATGACAACAAGAAAAATGTCACTTGGTTATATTTTGTTTTTATTCCAGTACCTTCCCGTATTTGAAGTGCAATCACCAACGGACGATTGTTCTAAACCGTCAGGATTCATCGATGGCATAATCCATATTCGAGTTCGATTCATTAATTGATTAGCTTGAGTATCATTAGATGTTAAAAGATAATCTACTAAATATAATAATACTTCTAATCCAACTACCTCATTTCCATGCATATTGGCTATATATTTAACTTCAGGTCGTAGCAATACGTGTTGATTTGGAGCATATGAACTTAGTGCCATAGCCCATAGAGATTTTCCTAAGTATGAATAGTTAAATACATAATTTTAATAATTATCTATACCTCCTTGTGATTTTCCTATTTCAACTAGGGATGCTTTTGTTGGATATTGAGCAGCTAAATCTTGAAGAATAGATGTCATCTCGGTATAGTTATGATAACGGTAATCAATGGCTTGATTGCCATAGATTACTGTTAATATTATAAGATAATTAAATTGAAAATGAAACTAGAAATAATACGAAATAATCATCATATTTTTTAAACAAAATAGCAACGACTTTTTACCATCGGAGTACTTTTGATACGCCGAGACAAGTATGAATAAATGAAAGAATAAAAGGAACTAATCGCATGAATGAATATACTCTTTTAGTCAAGCGTAGTCTATAAATATGTGTTTTTACTTTTTCTTTTCTGTTTTTTTCTTATTAAAAACACATTTTTGAAGTTTTGTTACATTCGTCCTATTTGCATCGTGTGTGCGAATCGTTAGAAAGAAAGTAATCGCCTTGAATACATATTTTAGAGCAACTTTCAAAAACATTTTACTTTTTTTTAGGGGTTGTATTTCATAAATAATTAGTAATATGTACATATTTTTATCTTCAGAAAAAAGCAAAATTGCAATGAAGTACATTTTATAAAATACGAATAAAAAGGTGTAGGTCTATTTAGATATTTGCACCTTTGCAAAGAAAATATTATATTGATAATTATGCATTTACTTCTTATTTCTGAGTATAAAAATTTTATCTTATAATATGAAACGAACTTTTTATTTCAGTTACACTACATTCAAATCAGAACAAGTTAGAGTAGGATATCCAAAGTAAACAAAAGTTTCAAGTATGAAACAACAATTTAATTAATAGCCTAGAGGTTTACAGTTCTCTCTCAAAAGCAAAATCTATTTCTTTCATTTGCAGTGTGATTTGCTTTCTTATCAAAACAAACTATTTTCTATATCTCAATTGGATCTGTTCCAGATTGAAATCTATCTTCAAAATAACAGTTTTCGTTTTTTCGAAAACAAAAATAAATTACATACATATAGTTTTTATGAAACTTAGTACTGCGTATCTGTTTAATTGTGTTTACATCATAACTTACGTGGAATTGACAAATATATGATATGATCACTTACCTTTGATTCACAAAATACTGTTCAAAAACGAAGTTTGAATGGTGATAGTGGCAGTTTCATACCCATATTTCTTGAGAATGTCTTTTGAATATTTCTATAAAATATTGTTTCGAATTTCGCAAGAAAACTTGTGTGAACTTCTTTATATATCCCTTCAATGTTTTTCATTACTATATGTCAATCTTTTTCACTTCTGCATCGATATTCATCTGATATCTTGTCGAAATATTACACACACTTTTCTAGAGTCACCTATGTGAGGAAAAGTGCATCCTCTATCTACGATTTTGAACAAGAAAATACTAGTTTGTAACAGTACTCCTCTTAATATATGAATACCTCCAATATCATCAGACAAAAATCCGTTAACAATATTGCTGTGTACACAATCGATTTTATTACGGATAAAATAGGTTTGTTGTATTATTAAAAGTTGACAGAAAACAAAGGTACGTCTTTACTTAATTAGATTCTTCAGTATTGTGTTAATAATTTGAATGATTTACAATAATATCGTGTTTTTCTCTTTCAATTACACTCTTGAATTCATATTTCAAGCAGTTAGTTTATATGAACTTTTCCCTCATTGTCATTATCAATGAATGCTGGATCTTATTCGTATACTAGAAAACACAGAAATATTACAATTTGACTAATTGGATCACTTTTAAATAAGAACAGAGAATTATGTCGTTGATTAACTTTTAAATTTAGCTTTTTATTCAAAAATGACCTAAAGTCTTCAAGAATATTAGTCATCCAGTTTATTGAATACTATGCAGAAGTACACTATCCGTGGTCACTATAACTAGTTTATTTCCCTCAAATAGGGTAGCACGATACGGTCTTGGGTAATAATGAAGTATTGTTTTTATTTCACCATCTTTTGTGATCTGCAACATTTGTTCAGTCTCATAGTCTACAATAAGCCATTCATTGCAAGTCAGTGCACAACACCGAAAAGGTATTGTTTTGACACATGTTACATCAAGTGGAATCGACCAGATGTAATCCAAGTTGCTTGCAGATCTAAGTTCGATACGTAGTGATTTCTTAATATCATTCATAATCATCAGAGCAAGATTTTCATTCTTATAAACAATACCATCGATATAATTATCCTTGGTACATGTAATAGGAGATTTCCATTTCTTAATCGATTTCATTGTTGGTACTAAGGCAAATTCTACAATTGAAGAACCCAATTCATTAGTGCTAACAAAGAGAACTGTGTCTGAACATGTACAGGATAACCAATCTCCTTCCCTAATTGCCTTCACCTCATTAATTGACATTGTATTTTCACTAATGAGAAAGATGGTCTTTCTCCCAAGAACAATAAACTGGTCTAATGTTGACGACCAGCACATGTCTTGAATATCGAGCTGATTCCACAAGACTTGATTTACTTTGTTCATCTCCCGATCGAATAAACATAAATTCGGATTCAAATGTAATAATAAGTGTTGGTCATTGTCAGCTAATGATAGAAAGCTGTCCTCTGGGCGATCTATAGTTCTATAGGCCCGCGAGAGAGTCGATAAATCAAGCTCATGTTCAGTCGTTTTCTGAATAACAACGAATGAGTCGTCTATTACTAACGGGCGAGTATCGATCGTAAAGCATATTTGTTCAATCTTATTCATTTCAATTTTCAGATGCGCTATAGATGAGTTCAATGAATCGATATCTTTGCGAGTTGTTTCTTGTGCATTAATACGATCAGCTATTTTTAAACTTATTTCATTTAGTTGTTTTCTATGTTGTTCGACTTTTTCGTTAATAAGTTGATCGATCTCTTGACATTTCCTTTCAAAGAAATAATTGATCTTCTTGAAACAATCGTCACGCCATTGTTGAAGCTTTTGATGGTGGTTGCTAGTAATGTTCTGAATATTCAGTGTGCTGAGACGATTGCCAAGTGCATTAATTTCATCAGTGAAAGGGTTCAATTCGGCGACAAGTAACGCATTATGTTCACTTAAATGTTGTAAACACAGATTTTTCTGACAGCAATCACACAAGCCACGTGATGTGCGAGCGCATTTGTTTATCGGGCAGAGTTGAGACATGTGATCAAAATATCAGAGTTGGAAGAAAAAACAAAATGTCTTGTTTTTTTCTCAAGTTAAAATATTTATTTGCTCAAGATAATGGGAATAGCTTATGCTATTGTATTGCGAAAGTTAGGTTGTGTATATTGTTACCTTTAAATTCGAATAAAAGATGTCGCATGAATAAAGGTTTGCAACGAATCTTATGAATAATGATGTGAAATTAAGCATTTATCTGCCGATCGAAAATCTATTTTTTCTCGAAGATATGATTAAAAGAGGATTATATTTTCATTCTGTGGAGAATTGAAGTGACTATGGTAGAAGAAGCTGTATGCACGTTGACAGCCACATGTTTGCAACATATGTCAATTTAACTATGTGCAAAGTAACTATCAATCCATTGATGATGTAAAAAAATAGAGTTTCTAGTTACAGTTAATTCTCTAATTTTTCAAAAAATAATTCTGTTTTATATCACGCATAAACAGGAGAGATCAGTTCAGAAACGCAAACATGCATACTTGTGCACTGTTTTAATGATTGCATGTCTATTTTGATGAGTATTAGCCCTAATTAAACAGAAGAGATCGATATAATCCTTTACTTTAGTTAAAATAGCAGTTAAGAATATCATAAGAGCAACCAAAATTTTGAAACAGACCTAATTTAAAATATTGAACATAATTTCTTCGTCATGTTTTTCTTATAGGGATATCAAAGTATGTTATATAATTACTATAAAACATATGTCTAACTAATTCAAGATAAACAGCTGGACTACAGCGATTGACTGATACAATATATTATTTTTCTGCATTACATACGCAATAATTTTGTATTTAATAAATCTAAACTATATATTGCATTTTTATTTTCTACTTCGTTAATGAATATTAAATTTCAATATCTCTGGCAAAACCTCGAGTTCTTCCGATCACACAAGTTCATTCTGATAAGAATCGATCATTTTGATTTTATCGTGTTTTGAAAAACACTTTACTTTCTACTGTGCGACAAATAATCACTTTGAAAGGAAGTATTCATGCAACATATTTTGTCACTGGTAAAAGTTGAAATAAGATATCACCCACTTTGAAGTATGCAAAAAAAAACATTTTTTATTTCTCCAGCAAACAAACGTGTTTCTTTAGTAATTCAATCAAAATTCACTCTTTCTTCCTACGGATATTGCCTTAAGGACATCAAACGTTTATTGTTTTCAGCGAATGTCTCAATCCTGCCCGATAAACAAATGCGCTCGCACATCACGTGGCTTGTGTGATTGCTGTCAGAAAAATCTGTGTTTACAACATTTAAGTGAACATAATGCGTTACTTGTCGCCGAATTGAACCCTTTCACTGATGAAATTAATGCACTTGGCAATCGTCTCAGCACACTGAATATTCAGAACATTACTAGCAACCACCATCAAAAGCTTCAACAATGGCGTGACGATTGTTTCAAGAAGATCAATTATTTCTTTGAAAGGAAATGTCAAGAGATCGATCAACTTATTAATGAAAAAATCGAGCAACATAGAAAACAACTAAATGAAATAAGTTTAAAAATAGCTGATCGCATTAATGCACAAGAAACAACTCGTCAAGATATCGATTCATTGAACTCATCTATAGCGCATCTGAAAACTGAAATGAATAAGATTGAACAAGTATGTTTTACAATCGATACTCGCCCGTTAGTAATAGACGACTCATTCGTTGTTATTCAGAAAGCGACTGAACATGAGCTTGATTTATCGACTCTCTCGCGGGCCTATAGAACTATAGATCGCCCAAAGGACAGTTTTCGACCATTAGCTGACAATGATCAACACTTATTATTACATATGAATCCTAATATATGCTTATTCGACCGGCAGATGAACAAATTAAAAGAAACTCCATGGAGTCACGGTGCCATTAGGGACATGTGTTGGTCGGCAACATTAAATCGATTTATTGTTCTTGGGACAAATAGTATCTTTCTTATTGAAGAAAATATGATATCAATTGATAAGGTGAAGACGATGAACAACCCAGACTGGCTATCGTGTTCATGTTCTGATACACTTCTGTTTGTAAGCACACATGAATGGGCTTCATCAATTATAGGATTTGCTTTAGTACCAGCGATTACACCGATTAAAGAATGGAAATATCCTCTCACATGTGCCAAAGATGATTTTATCCATGACATCGTTTATCATAAAGAAAATCTCGTTCTGATGATTAAAAACGATACTAAGAAATCGCTACGCATCGAACTCAGATCCGCAAGTAGCCTTGATTGCATATGGTCGCTTCCACTTGATATAAAGTGTATCCAAAATATAGCATTTCGGTGTTGTACACTTACTGGTGATGAATGGCTTATTCCAGACTATGAAACTGACCGCTTTTTTCAGATTACAAAAGATGGTAAAATAAAGAAAATAATTCAATATCATCCAACTCCCTATCATGCTACTGCATTTGGCGAAAATCAACTAGTTGTAGTCACTATGAATAGTGTACTTCTGCATACGATTCAATAATAATTATTTTTCTCTACTTTTTCAAAGTTGGTGTGATAATTTCGATCAGTTTTATACTCTTTATGATATTTGATCCAAGAACATGAAAAAAAAATAAAACAGAATGTCTGTCAAAAAACATTTTGTGGTGATTAAACTGTATTTATCTGTTGCTGAAATAATAAAGGAGTCATTTGAGCGAATGTTGGTGTTGCCATAGGTGCTGATTCGTCTGCTTCATCACTCACCGGTGACTAAAACAAAAATTTTAAGGATTGTTAAATCACATATATATATATATATTAGTAGTTTCTAGGAGGGAAAAAATCCGATTGTTATCAAACCAACCATTCTCAGTCATGGGCAATCAACTTTACTCTCGTTAATTTTTAAAATAGGATCGAATTTTTATAAAATCCTGATTATATAGTGGTCTTTGTGTACAACCACTTCGATTTGCAAGAGTAGTTGCTATTACATCACCACTTGTTTCATTTGAGAAATTCTATTTCAAAGAGAAACGTGTAGAAAACTAAAAGTAATATCTCAAACTTACACTAAATGGAAGAGAAATGCTTAATCCTTCATTGACATCGTTCGTATCAATTTTTCGAGAAGTCTATTCGTAATAGGAACTACATCAAAGATTAAGAAGATAAAGAAAATAATAATAATAGAATGAAAACAATCTTTTACTACATTTGAATTCAGTTCAGGATTAGATTAAAATCGGTGTTGGAAAACATTATAAGGTGTATGTTAACAAGCAATTTAAGCAACATAGTAAAAATACAATTACTTTTTCTCTATTCAGAGATAGCTCTACATTAAATTGCTATGCACAAAATAATATAATAGTATCAAATGGTCGTGGTATCAGTTCCTAAGATGAGCGTCGTCATAAGTCAATGGAAAATTCAATCAGAAAGTATTTCATATCAACATTATGAGTTTTGTCATTTTCATGAGGAAAACTAAAGTATCGTTACATTCTGGACACAAACTTCGAAAAATAAAGAAAAGAATAAAAACCGTTCTCCTGTGTTTGGATTTGAATTATGATAGAGAATATTTCAAGTTTCTAGTTCCTGCCAGCGTCTTTTGATATTCCTCCCATGTTTTTTATCTTTGTACATCAGTCTGTTTCTCTTCCATATGAATATTCGCATCGCATACTTGTGAACTGCATTTTGCGTTCAAAATTCTACACTAGAAAGTAATATTTTTTATCTGTACTCTAAAACCTTTTCAATATCTGACTGCATTTGATATCATACATAAAAAAAAACAATGAAAAAATATTGCGATGCACATAATTAATTTCGCCTCGGATAAGACAGCTTTGCTTTATTGTCAACAGCACACAGAACTGAATACCTGAGACAGCAAGTGGAAAGTGACTACGTTGTTCGAACCTTCATTATAATTATTATAAAAGCTCAATCATTTAAAATAATATGGTGCCATTTTTGCTTTACATGCAGTCTCAAATATATATTTAAAGCAAGTAACTAAAAGGAACTTTTTGCTTGTTTTCATTACCAAATAAACTAAGGTTTCTGTTCGGATATAAGAAAAAAAGCAAAAGCAGAAAATGACTATCGGATCACTCTTAAACAATATCAGACGATTATGATGTTAATTGATGTTAAAGGTCAAATTTTCATTAAAAAATCAGCTGACGTCTACATCTTAACGAATGTTAGCCATCTAATTTATTAAACTCTATGTAGGTTTACATGATCATAAGTCACTACAGCGAGTGTATTTTTGCCAAACAACGTAGCACGACAAGGGGTTGGACCATATTGAATTGTTTTCTTCATTTTACCATCTTTTGTGATCTGCAACAGGCGTCCAGTTTCATAGTCCACAATAAGCCACTCATCACAGGTCAATATGCAGCAATGAAATCCCATACTATGGACACATTTTATATCAAGTGGAATCGACCAGATACAATTAAGGTTACGTGCATACCTCAGTTCAATGCGTAGCGATTTCTCAATGTTATTCATAGTCATCAAAGCGAGATTTCCGCCATGATAAACAATATCATCGATATCTTCATCTTTGGTACACGTGAGAGGCGGTTTCCATTCTCTAATGTATTTGATCACTGGTGCTAAAGCAAATTCCATAATCGATGAACCCAATTCATTTGTGCTAACAAATAGAACTGTGTCTGAACATGTACAGGATAGCCATCGTCGCTCATTGATTGTCTGTACCTCATCAACTGACACTGTATTTTCGTTAAAAAGAAAGATACTATTTACTCCAAGAATAACAAATCGATCTAGTGTTCGCGACCAACACATGTCTTGAATGGTACCGTGAGTCCACAAAGTTTGTTTTGTATTTTTGATCTCACGATCAAATAAACATAGATGTGGGTGCCGATGTAGTAATAAGTGTCGAGCATTGCTAGCCAACGATCCAAAGCTTTTCTCTGGACGCTTTATTGTTGTATAAACAACCGGTAGAGTCGATAGGTCAACTTCATTTTCACTCTTTTTTTGAATAACAACGAATGAGTCATCTATTACTAACGGGCGAGTATCAATCGTAAAACATTGTTGTTCAACTTTGTTCATTTGACTTTTCAGATGGCGAATAGCTGAGTTCAATGAATCAATATCTTCACGAGTTGTTTCTTGTGTATTAATGAGATCAGTGATTTTCGAATGCAAATCATTTAGTTTTTTTCGGTGTTTTTCAACTTTTCCGTTAATAATTTGATCCAGTTCTTGACATTTCTTTTCGAAAAAACAATCAATCTTCTTATGGCAATCCTCACGCCATTGTTGAAGCTTTTGACGACCGTTGCTAGTAGTGTTCTGAATACTGAATGTTTTCAGACGATCTCGAAGTGTGTTAATTTCATCAGTGAATGGATTCAATTCGGCCACAAGTAAGGCATTATGTTCACTCAAATGTTGTAAACACAGAACTTTCTGGCAGCAATCACATAAGCCACGTGATCTACGAATACATTTGTTTACCGAGCACGGTTGAGACATGTGGTGAAAATATTAAAATTCTGTTGCTCTAAAAATATTCAAAGAAGGAAGAAAGGAGAAATTCTAAATTTATTATTACAAAAAACTGTCTATTGTAGAAAACAAAACGGACTGTTTTTTGCATTTATACATCGAAAGTGAAGTTATTTTTGTTACCATGAAATTTAAAGAAAAAGATGTCGTGGGAATAAGAGTTTAAAAAAGGTTTTTATTAATAATTCAACTGAAATATATTCTTTACCTGATGATCGGATATCTGTTCGATTTCGAAGATATCATAAAAAGCGTGTGAAATATGGGTTACCAAGTCAGATGTTTAATTGATTAAGTATTTTTCAGTTAAGAATTAATTCGGCGACGTTGAAGTCAGCAGCAAAGAATTCGGTGATAATCAGTTAATGCAATGCCCTGCTTCCTACTGCCAGACAAATAACTTCGTACCAATTAAATATTCCACGACACTTTCATTTAGTGCCTATTAGTACGACATATTTTGCCTCAGTTTCAAGTTGGAAAAAGATCTTACCCACTTTTGTAAGTATGTAAAAACGGCACGCTTTTTATTTCTCCAAAAAAATGTTTTTATTTAGTATTAAAACCATAGTTCTCTGATTCTGACTATTCATACTGTCGTTTTGAGCATCAAAATTGTATTGCTTCCATCGAATGTCTCAATCCTGTTCGATACAAAAATATATTCGCGCACCACGTGGTTGCTGTCAGAAAAGTCTGTGTTTGCAACATTCAAGTGAACATAATGCGTTACTCGTTGGTCAATTGAATTCTTTCACTGATGAAATTAATGCACTTGATGATCGTCTCAGAACACTGAATACTCAGAACACTACTAGCAACTACCATCAAAAACGTCAACAATGGCGTGACGATTGTCATAAGGAGATCGATTGTTTGCTGGAAAAGAAATGTCAAGATCTTGATCAAGTTATTAACGAAAACGTGGAACAACACCGGAAAGAACTAAATAGAATACACTTGAAAATAACTGATCTCACCAATGCACAAGAAGCTACTCGTCAAGATATCGATTCATTGAATGCAACTATTCATCCTCTGAAAAGTGAAATGAACAAAATTGAATAAACAGGTTTTACAATTGATACTCGTCCATTAGTAATAGACGAAAAATTCGTGGCTATTAAGAAAACGACTGAGGATGAACTTGATCTATCGAGTCTGTTGCCTGTCTGTAGAACCATCGATCGTCCAGAGGGAAGTTTTAGATCATTGACGGACAATGACCGACACATATCAAAGCACATCAGTCCAAATTTATGTTAATACGATCGCGAGATGAACAAAATAAAAGAAACTTCATCGAAGCACGGTACCATCGATGACATGTGTTGATCGATAACATCAGAACGATTTATTGTTCTTGGAACGAAAATACGAGGACTATTGGATAAGGTAGTGGCAAGTCAGAAACGACACTGGCTATCGTGTACATGTTCAGACACAGTTTTATTTGTAAGCACCAATGAATGGGTTTCATCTATTATGATATTCGCTTTAGTACGGGCAATCAAACTGTGTAAAGAATGGAAATATCCTCTTACATGCACCGAAGAGGAAGGTATTCATGATATTGTTTGTAATAGAGGAAATCTTACTCTAATGATTACGAATGAAATCAAGAAGTTCATACGTATTGAACTGAGATCTGCAAGTAGCCTCGATTGCATCTGGTCGATTTCACTTGATATGAAATGTGTCAAAACTATAGCATTTCACTGTTGTGTATTGACTTGTGATGAATAACTTATTATAGACTATGAAAAGGAGCATCTGTTTCAAATTACAAAAGATGGTAAAAATAAAGAAAATAATTAAATATCATCCAACCCCGTACCGCGCTACTCTGTTAGACAGAAATAAACTAGTTATAGTGGCCACGAATAATGTGTTTCTGCATACTATTGAATAACAGCAATTTTTCTTTAGTTTTTCAATAAAAAACTCAAATTAATGAAGATTTATTTTGCATCACTTTTATGATTCTCTAGATTTATGTGTGAATCACGATCAGTTCTATACTTTTAATAATATTTTATCAAAGAACACAAAAAAAGATACAAAATATCTGACAAAGGAATTTTCTCAGAATTAAGATGAACTCATCTGTTGCTCAAGTAATAAACGAGCCATTTGAGCGAATGTTGGTGCTGCCATCACTGCTGATTCGTCAGCTTCACCATTCACCGGTGGCTAAAATAAAATTTTCAACGATTATGAGATCCTTCATATATTGATAAATTTTACCATAGGAGTAAATTTTATTAAATCCTGACTGCATGCTGGTCTTTGTGAACAACCACTTCGATTTGCAAGAGTAGTTGCTATTACATCACCACTTGTTTCATTTGAGAAATTCTATTTGAAAGGGAAACGTGTAGAAAATTAAAAGTAATATTTCACACTTACACTGAATGGAATAGAAATGCTTGAGCCATCATTCACATCATCTGTATCAATTTTTGCAAGGAGGATATTTGTAATAGGACCTACTCATAAGAATAAGAGAGTGGAGGGTAGAATTAAAAAAATTTTCATACTTGAACATGATTTTTTGAAACGTATTTGACCTGATGATAAATCCCACATAGCACAATCTTTATCTAGACCACCAGAATATAAAATCTGCTCGTCTGCACTCAATCGAAGTGATATGACCGAACCTCTAGAAGAATATTTAAAAATATTATCCATCACAAACATAATCTCTGTGTTCGATTTACTGATGATGAATTAATTGTTTTGAATTATTATTATCAATTGTAATAGTTGGATTTTGATGCTGAAATTCTCCAAACTAAAATATAATTTCTTGCAACATCCAGAAGAAAATATTTTTTCTTCTTATTTACTTGTGTTGTTAATGTTCGTAGTGAAACAATAAATATTGTACCAACATCAGTACCACAATAAACTGTCGTAGAAAATGATGACGCACATATGGAATGGATTTCATTGGGAAATAAAAATGTACATAAGCATTTTCCTGTTACAATATCCCATAACTAAAATAAGAATTTTTGTATTTCAAAAATAAAAGAAAAGTAGAAATTTCCATCTAGAAAACTGGTGTCGAGTTCTTCGCTTTTTTTTATCCTAGTCCTAGTTCCAATGAAGTCACGATAATACTGAACGAACGATAGATTAGTATGATTATCGAATACTTTTAAGGCTAGTGAAGTTTTCTTTCGATTTCATGTGAAATTAGCCGTTGGAGGTGAAAATCACAAAGATTATTATAACATACTCGAACGCTAAGATCACTTGAAGCTGTTAAAATTAAATTAAATTTTCCAATAGATATTTGACAAACATCATGAATAGGACCAGTGTGACCTTGAAATGATTTCGATGGAGAAATATCAATATTTCGACCAGGATTCATTCTTTAATAGAAACAACTTTAGTGTAAATATGCATGAGTGGAATACATATATTTACTCTTCAATATTCCATCGATGAATAAGATTATCTTCACCAACTGATATTAAACAATCTTGATCTTCATCAAATAATAAATGATTTATTGTGCGAATGTGTGCTGAAAGTGTTATCAAATGTTCACCATTATCAAGCTAAATAAAAAGGAAAATGATTATTTTCTTTTCATACGAATTTCGAGTTTATGTTTTTTTACTTTATAAAGAAATATTTTATTTCCAACTGCACAAGCTAAAACAGTTGAGTCACGAATAAATGTCATTGAACTGACAGGTCCTGCAACAGTTATTTTTTTATAATCTCGATTCTAGAAATAATATTTCAATACATGATATCGATTAAGAAGCAATAGAATTTCTTACTCGACTATTTAATTTCCAAACATAAATTGAAGGTCGATCGATGGCAGCAGCATAGATATGATCACGAGAACATAAGAGTGAATGAGATGCAATAGGCGCATCACATTTAAATGTTAGAAGAACATTACCATTTAATCCATTGAAACCACTAATTGTCCATGGATGAGCATTTTGAGTAGTAATTAAAACTGTCGGTTGATGTTGAGACATCGTTGTTGTCTTTGAAGGAAACATGAAAATAGTAGAACGCCGTCTTTTTACTTCGAATTCAAGATTGGATTCGCAAGAAGTGAGTCTCCATTCATATCAAATAGACACACGGAAACTGATTGGTCACTAAAATAGATGTCACTATCAATAGAGACGACTACAATAAGATTAAATATTTATTTACATATTGTTTGGAAAACTAATTGATTTGAGACAAAGATTTTTCAAGAAATTAACCAAAACAAAATAGAACATAGACTGATACACCCATTCCAATCCATGAAATATTAAACACAATACTTCTCACACTGATTTCAAAATATGAGCTCGATAAAAGAAGTAGATCTTTCCAAATTTTATTAATCAATACAACAGCAGAATTATATTTAAAAGTAGAACTTTACGGACTTGTAAAACTATGACTGTTGGTAAATGGATTAAAATTATTGCCACTGCTTTGCTGAGCAGCATTGTTTCCTTCAGCCCACCATACTTTATTGTCAGGTCCGATCAATGAAACTGTTACATAACCAGGATTAGCAGGGAACGGAATACATTCGGTCTGTTCAAGCTTAGTGATTTTGTAGCTAGTTTTCGATCCATTCAAGTCAACTACTACTGTATATTGTCCTCCGCTAGGATTAGCACTTTTAACGATAGAATGAATAACAACACAATCGTCAGCATCGCTACGATATTGAGGAGCATCGCCATTTACATTGTTCTTAGGATGAACACGATACCACCAGTAGAATTGATCATTGGTAACAGTAGGTCTGAGATTATTTTTATACCACTGAATATAATGTTTCGAAAGTTCTAACCAAGCGTCATGATGCATAGGTTGTGGTTTGTTAATCATATTCGAGATGCCTGCCATATCAGTTGGTAAGTCACTACTAATAGGACACATGTAGGAAGATTCAGAGTAATCATTCCAAGTAATAATTTGAACAAAATCTGGTTGCAATGAAACAATTTGTTGCCATCTTTCTGGTAGAAGTCTTTCAGAACTATAAATCCAATTTTTATACCACCCTGATCCCCATACATATGTGTAAAACCATGGAGCAAGTGGAGCCATGTAAGTTTTACCAGTAGCTTTAGCGCTAGCAATAAGATTTCTATCGCCACTGGTGTCAAAATGACTGCCCGGTCCAGAATTACCAGCGGGCCAAGCATTCCAAGTAAATATACAATCAGCAACCGGATGAGACTGTAGTAAATTGGCAGTCGGATAGTTTGGCCAACTAGGACAAAAGTAAGGATTCAATCCACTAGCAGATTTCCATGTTAACCAAAATATATCTTGATTTTCACCAGCAAAAGTAGAATAGAATGGTCTACCATTGACTCTAAAATAATTAGGATGATAGGCAGCAAAATGGAAACGGTTAAGGATGCCATTATTAAATGTGAGCGATGACATGTCGAAGGAGATAAACATTGTAAAATCACCATTGTTTTGAGCAGCAGCAAGAGCTTTGGTCACACGATCAGGTTGCCAGTCATCGATGCCAACATTCAGTGCAAATCCATCAATACCAGCTGATTTTGCTCTCTTGATTTGAGCATCGAAAAAGTTTTGATCTGATGGATAAGCAAAACCAACCATATAGTGAGCAAATACTTTCTTGCTAGATTTAGTATCAGTTGGTTGAGTTGAAGAAGAAGTAGTAGTAGAACTGATTGACCCACCAATAACCTCAGCTGTTAGAGGATAAGCAAACGAGCCAACTATTTTCAAACGAATGGAACCAGTAGGGGTTGAGAATAAACAATCGGGTCCACCTATTCCTACGCATCCCCAACTGATTTCCCAAGTGTCTCCAACAGTTACCTTCCAATGGTACACTTTATTAGGCTGAAGTCCATGAACATCAACAGCATACTCGCATGATTGAACGTTGGTATCATGCATCAAGCCCTTGGGTTCAGCAGCATTCCAATTCGAATTAGATCCAGCATCCATAGCCCAATCACCGGTAGCACGATACGTTTTGTCAGTCCATCCACAATTAGGATCATCGTATCGAGCCACAACAATGGTAGCACAGTAAACCAAAACGAATACTAATAATTCTATTCTGATGACAATCATTTAAAAGAATTACAATAGTGTCAAATAATAGAGTAATATCTTGCTGTTGTCAAATGACTGATTGCTTGCGTAAATCAATAAAATAACTTCATGAATACTCATACGACGATTGGTATTATTTTTCACATTTCGTACTAGTAAGTTGATAGTCAATATCAAATACGCCTGTTTCTTTTCATCAGATGCTATGCTGATTACTTGGGCTATTGGTGGCACCACGAAGCGCTCTTTTTATATTACAGTTTTTATCATTTCTAAACAAAAATTTTCATACATTTTTATAAACTCTAAATTTCTTCGATCAACATATGTGTATTTAAAAAGAAAAGAGAAAGAACCCTAGAATCGATAGATGTCATAAGATGATACCGTTCGAGTGCACAGTCTTCAATGATTGGTAAAATCAGATATCTAATGATGAAACTAGGTTCTGATACAGATGTACGATTACTACTGATCGATACTTTAGTTTGATGCTTATTACTTGATCTTCTTGCTAATGTTGGTCTGTTCAAATTGTGTTGTTCGTTTATCTCCAACACTATGCAAATATTTAACTATATCATCTCTATCAAGACTATCATCTAAACCATGGCTAGCATTCAATAATGGCCTTGAAAATTCCATTCGAAGAAAATTTTCTAACTCTTTACAATCAAAATTTGTTACCGGTAGACGAATTTGCCAAGAACATTTCCAATAATGTCATTTTTCTTCTTTCTCTAGTTATTTCTTTTACACATTCACGTTCATTTCATACATCAAATAAACGAGATAAAAAAGATTACTATGACGTCTTAGGTGTACCAAAAACGGCAACTGCAAAAGATATCAAAAAAGCTTATTATCAAGTTTGTTTTATTTTTGATTATATGTCTTTGCAAATGATTCATCTTTTCATCTAGCTCGCAAAACAATACCATCCCGATACAACTGAGAAGAAAGATTCGGCAACGACAAAAAAATTTCAAGAAGTTTCAGAAGCTTATGAAGTTTTGAGTGATGAAACCAAGAAAAAAAATTATGATACGTATGGAATGGGCGGCGATCCATTTAATTCCGGTCAAGGTTCACATCCCGGTGCTCGTGGTCAATCAGGTGATCCACGTCAAGGTGGTTTTCGTGGTTACGAATCTTATCAATCTCAAGTAGATCCCGAAGAATTATTTCGAAAAATCTTTGGTGATGCATTTAATCGAGGTGGATTTAGTAGTCATGAATGGATGAATGATGCTGAAGAAAATTCTTTTAATAAGCAAGGAATTACGCAAGTATGTATTTCATATTTTTTTATTTTTATTAAATTAACTCGAACTTTTTGTTTTCTTCTCTAGTTGTCACTAGATTTAACCTTCCAAGAAGCTGTTCGTGGTTGTAATAAAGATGTGAATGTGCGTATTATTGATACATGTCCCACTTGTAAAGGTACACGTTGTGCAGCTGGTACTCAACCTCAAAAATGTCGTACATGTAATGGAACTGGTATGGAAACAATTGAAACTGGTCCATTTTTTATGCGTGCTACTTGTCGGGCATGTCATGGTCGACGAGAAACAATTTCAAAACCATGTTATGAATGTTCGGGTAGAGGAAAAACAGCTCAAAAGAAAGTTACAACAATACCAATACCAGCCGGTAAATAACTTTTCATAATATATGTAAAATTAAAAAATTAATTTTTTTCTCTGGATTCTGTTATCTTTAGGTGTGGAAGATGGACAAACAATGAGAGTTAATTTAGGCACATCTGAAATCTTTATTACATTTCGAGTTAAAACAAGTGAAAAATTTCGAAGAGATAAAGAAGATATTCATAGTGAAATTAATTTATCCATTGTACAAGCTATGCTTGGCGGTGCAGTTAAAGTGCCGGGAATACATGAAGATCATGTTTTACAAGTTAGCGAGAATTTAATATAACTACTAACCAACTAGATCATTCAATTTTAGATTCCACCTGGTACCCAATCGCATCAACGTTTTCGTCTTATTGGTAAAGGTATTAAACGTCTTCATAGTCCAGGAACAGGTGACCATTATGTTCATGTGAAAATAAAAGTTCCAACGTATGTGTTTATTCGAATTTTAATGGAAAAAATGTTCTTTTTATTATTATTTATTTTCTATAGACGATTAACACCTGAACAAAAAGCATTGATATTATCGTATGCTGAATTAGATAAAGATGTTGATGGTACGGTGAACGGTTTAACACAAGCTAAATCTGGTAGAGAAATAAATTGAAATTTGAGTCTTCTAACAAAATATTTTCTTTTAGGAAATCGTGTAATCAATGAAGATGATTATCCATTGTTAAAGTCTATACGACAAGTATTATCGAATTTACCACTCGGCAGTAAAAAAGTAGCTGATAAAATTGAAGAAAATGAAACCGACACAAAACGTGATTCAACAGCGAAGAAAAAGTCAAGCAACCATTAGTTTAAAATGTTGTGCCAGATGATATTTGTTTTCTGTTTTTTTTTGTTAACTTTATAGAATGCTTTCGTTTAAAAAAGAAAGTCAGTAATAAGCGTAAATCTGGCAAGTGAATTTTCTTTTACTACGATTATCATATGCAAATCATTTTTATCTCATTGTATGAATGCAAAGAAATGTGTTAGATGATAGTTTAGCATTGTAAACGCACTTCAGCTGTCTTGAAGATCTACACATTGATTGTTGTTTTCGATGAACAAAAAAAAACGACATCAGGTTAAATTACTACATTTTAGCAGTACAACGTTCTTTACATATGTATACCGATCAACTTCAAAATATTAATATTGATGATTTCCTTGAATTATATTCTAACCATTTAAATTGTCATGTAGACTTTAGTATTTCTGAGAAAAGAGCATAACGCTTATTATCTTGCATTACAATGAAAAAATTCTCAGTAGACGTCCATCTGAATGCGCGAGGGTCTAGACAGATGCATATCCACATTGTGTTTGCTTTTCAAATAAGCTTGTAAACAACAAATGATGATCTTTTCCCTCTAATTCGTTTATACTACTTGTCGGTCAATTTATTTTTCAACTGAGAAAATGTTCTTACAATAGAATTTTTATTTAGTAATCAACATTTCAATTTAACAACCAGGACGGCCTACTTGTTGAGCAAATTGTCCCATATAATTTCCTGGTGGGTCATAATTAGCAACAACATAAGCTCTACGTCCATCGAGAGAGAAAGCAATACCAACGCCAAGTTTCGTACTAGTTTTCCATACAACCTGAGTGAAATGACCAGTGCTCGATGAGAATCCTGGTGAATTGAAGTTGTAATAATCGATTTCGTCGTACCATGCTTGAGTTGCTCCTGTTCCTAGAATAGAATTTACTAATAAAAACTTCTTTAAATTTAAAGTACAAATCGTTCACCAGATAAAGATTGTATAGGCGCTGAGCTACTCGTCATGTAAAGATTTTCTCCATAACCATTATTTGAATGTTGGAAAATATTTCTAGCAGCGAGATAGTCAGCATAATTTTGGGCAATTGTATTTAAATTATTATCGAGTTGAAGCGGTGCACTACAATGAGCAGCTCGTAATGTATTATGATGTTCTAATGCCTCGTTTTGATATTTTATTTGGCTTACTGTAAAAGCATTCGCTAAAAGGAAATATTTTTATTGTACCTATAGTTAATTAATTAGTTGTTATTTACCTGCCACAACACCAACTATGAGTATCGCTAATACAAGAAGCTGCATTGCGTTGTTTTTTTTCAAAAAGCTATTTAAAAATAAAATAGTAAAATAATTATGAAGATAACGATCATTCACACTTACTTTTGGAAAGAAACTGAATGACATTGAATTGATGCTTCAATATTTTATATACTATTGAAAGTTGGCAATCCAGCAGTCTTAATACCTAGTTTCCAATTACTAAATATCAAGCGCCTTCGCCACAAGAACAATCATCATTTTCAAATACTTAAAAGCTTATCATTCTTTTGAGAATGCCTATTGATATGATACTACTGCTGAATTTTGGTAACGATGATTATTTTTATCAAGATGCAGTGATTCGTTTTGAAAGTTGATATTGTTTGCACTGTGTTGGGAAGTCACAGACAGAATATTTCTTCTTGCTACATGATTGAGAAAATGTGTTTTTTTTTAATTATACTCAATTTTAGATTTACGCTCTTAAGAAAGGTTAAGCTTTTAGCCTTGAAAGACGGTGCTTTTGTTTTTTTCATATATCAAGTAACGAACAAAAATAGATTCGACTTTTTAATTTTGTAGACGTGTTTCAAGTTGCGAACAAATGCATCTCATACAGAAATCAACAGCACAACAAAAAACGAACTATCTTCTCAGACTTGACTGAACTCTACTTTTCACTGATGACTACAATTGGCTTTACTTGAAATCTGTCAATTCATAAACGAATTAATCAAATGAGAAGAGAAATTATTTAACACAAAAATACTTTAGAGATAATTTCATTGTGTATTTGAAAAATAAAATTTTCTTTTTGAATGTTCGAATTTTTCTCGTTTGATTCAGTGCGCTGAAACGAGAAATACGTAGAGTGCATTTTGATCAACGACAGTATTCAACGTTTTTTTTTCTTCTCCTGATCTATTCTATTTGAATGCATTCATCATCGAACTGGATATCACTATTCATATGATGTCTTGTCTAGTTATTTCCTTTCTTTTCATATTCGTTTCAAGCACATTCGGCGGCTGTAATGCACACACAAAGCAATGCCTGGATAATTCTTCTTCATTTAAGAACGACTAAATCTAGAAAGACTAAATGTAAACGTTCGACGACATTCATCATATTTCCATCTTATTCGATACTGATCAGTTGTTCATTGTACATAACCACCATCGGTATCTGTATTTATAAAATATCAAAGTACAATGAGTGACCCAAATAATTGTTCATCATCACCGATCCGTGCACATTTTTCTGATATAACAAATAAAAAGAATACTATCGAAGACGATTGTCGATGGAAATTACCAAGTGGTAAATTAAAAAACAAACAAACATTTTTTTGTTCAAAATGAAATAATTTTATGTTTTAGCTGCACCAATAATAACGATTGAAAACGATGAAAATGAAAACGAAGCATGGAATGAATATCGACATATATTTGAAACAAGCAATTCACAAATGTTAAATCCATCATCAATGGATAATTATTTTCTTCGGCATAGTAGTGCTAATACAAGTTTAAATGAATCCACATCATTTGAACCATTAATGGATAATAACGATGATATTTTTTCCATTATTGAACAAGCTGGTATTACATTCGGTAAGTTTGAAAATGAAAATTACCGCTAGAAGATTTCTTTTGTCGTTTTTTGCTTAGATGCATTAACAGGGTCATCGTCATCAGCAGATTTACTTGCGAGTACAAGTGGTTATCATTCATATGAACCGTCACCATTTAATCATCGTTTAAAACGCTCATCAGTACTCGATCCATCGGCAGCAGAATTTCATTTAGAGTCCGAATCATCTTTAACATCCAATTATCATCAGTCAACAAAACGATCATCATGCCATAGTGATCTTCAAAACCGTCGAACTTCACGATCACAAAATCCGACTACACAACGTATACCTACTTCATGTAATTATTATAATTTATTTTTACTAAAGAAATAACGTTCTTTTTCTTTTGATTGTTTTGTCTTTAGATGAATACAAATTTGGTGGTTATGGCCGTGGAATCAATGAATTTCTTGAACCAAATGGTATTACTTTTCTATCCGATGGTACTATTGGAGTTGTGGATACAAATTCAAGTCAAGTGAAATTATTCGATCCTGTCCGTAGAGAATGCATACTCAAGTTTGGTCAAGCAGGCACAAGACCAGGTGCATTACTTTATCCGTATCGCGTTGCTGTTTTACCAGGACGTGACCTAGTAAGATTTCTGTTTATTTTCGTCTCAAGAAAAGAAATTTTAACAAATCTCTCCTCTAGCTTGTTATGGTTCAACGATCTCCACGACCAATGATACAAATATTTGATCGTAACGGTCAGTTCATTAGTCGCTTTGGCAATGATCTCGAAAGTCCACGTGCCATTTGTATTGATCAACAAGGACGTATTATTGTTATTGAATCAAAAATTATGAAAGGTAAATATATAAACTTATAGTTTCATTATGAGCAGTAAGGTACATAAAAAATAAATAAAACCGAGACAAACCAATACAGTCGATAAGTATTTTCATATATTATTAATAAAAATTGAAACTCAAGGTAGTCATTTGCTGGAATGAATTACTTAATACAAATTTTTAAATTCTTTTTCTTTTGATGACTTGTGTAAATACGATGAAATTGTTTTAATATAGTGATGAGAAAGGATGGGATACCTGTTAACAGTAGAGAAACCGTAAGAAATGATAGACTTCGAAATTAACATTAGAAGGACATTCGTTCTAGACTGTGTGTATGACTTTCAAGTGTCAAAGACTATCATACTAGAATGTTTTTGTAGTGTTTAGAGATGTATAAATGAAAGAAAGTAAATAGATATACAGAAGAAAATCTCAATAGGTCAAATGTTGTAAATAGTGATTTTTCTATTGAAGCTTGATGATGTAACACTAAAACTAATTGAATTTCCAATAAATCTTCGATGTTCTAACAGAGGCTTTGAAACACGATCTTATGCAATATATAATCAATGATATAAATAAAGAAATAAGATTCATTTGAATTTCTTCGATGACAAATATTAATTTGACATCTGTTTGCTTTTTAGTTCATATTTATGATGCAACATCCGGTCGTATTTGGGGTCAATTTGATTTACGCGATCATTTAAGTTTTCCGACAAGTGTCTGTGTCAATGATCGACATGAACTTTATGTTAGCGATAACGAGTCACATTTCGTACGTGTATTTGATTATAATGGACAACATTTGAAGAATATTGGTGCTGGTATTTCTTATCCGATAGCGTGTCGTATTGTAAGAAATATTTCTTTCATTTAAAATTTTACTATTCTAATTTTTTTAAATTTAGAATCAACCACGACGCGAACTTATTGTTGTTGATAATCATGAAAATTTTAATGTTACGACATATGATTATGATGGAAATAAAAAATATTCACATTATTCAGTAAGATTTCGATTATGATCCTAGAAATAATCTTTTTTTCTTAAATATTCTTCACTTTTTTTTAGTTAATGAAACATTCACAATGTTTCGATGTTGCTGTTGGATATAATGATGAATTAGCAATGGCATCTAAAGACTATAAAATTTATGTTTATAAATTAGGTGAAGGTCTTGAAACAGCAGCACCAAGCAGTGATATAAATCAGAATTATTGTTAAAAGTAAATTTTTCTCTTTGTTCTTAAAATAACCTTTAATTATTATCGTGTTCGTTCGTGTGTGTGTGTGTGTTGTACAAATGGATTTATATCTACCGCGTTATAATATTATAAATCTAAATTATCTTTCTTCACCTTTATGGTAGACGAATTGATTTTTTTCTTTCTTCACATTGGCATAACTTTATTTGATTTCTTCTCTTTTTTTTCGTTTATTTTTTATTTGATATACTTAAACATTGCTAACGATATTTATGTTTCTAGTTTTTTTTCTTTGCATTATTTTTTGTTGTACAACACTTCTATTTGATCTTACATATATTAATATAAATTGGAATTTGACATACGAGTTACAAGAAAAAAAAATTCAAAATTCTTTCGCTTAGGAGGAAAGTTTTTGGCATTAAATATTTATTAAATTATAATAATAACTTTTATTAATCAGAAGGTTTTGATTTACTATTCAAAGAGAGTATTTTACTTGACAGTGAGCAGTAGATTTCTTAGTAAATAACTGAATAGAAAATTTTCATGTACAGAATAAGATTACTAATTGATTGATTTTCAAGCTCGAATCTATCCGACTAGTTAACATGATTTGTATGTCTAACTGAACTCCGTCAGCCAGTATTAATGATATTATACGGTTTCAATGTAAATGTGTCTCTTTTTTTCCCTTGAAAATATTCATGACTGTATATAAATATATATATTAACCATTTTACCTGCATAGGAGGAATCTATCGAAGAAAGGCAAGTAACAATTTTATGTTTTTATTGTTATACAAGATCAATTCAATAGTTAAAGTTCGCAGACAATACAGATGCCATTAACCGATAAAAAGCTTTTAACAATATAATTTTCTAGTTAAATACTAAGCATAATCAATAATCATTGAAAAAACTTCCTAGAGTTTTTTTCTGTTAAATAATCATTTATAAGTATTTAATCGCTAGTGTATTCCATCGCATACATTGCTTTTTCTTGATAAAAAAAAATAAAACGTCCTTTCTTCGTCTATCGTAGAATCAATAGTAATTGATACGCTGTTATTGTTATTGTTTCTTATAAATTTTCACTCTAAAGATTTTTTTATTTAACTGATTAATTTGGAGATAAAATTGTCTAACACTTGAAAACCAAAAGGAGTACTTTACTACTCATACAATTTCAGTATAACTATCTTAATCGCAGAGTTCCATTTATAGGGTTAGCCGTCTCTTTCATGCATATGTATATTGAGTGTATTCGTAAAAATCCTTGAAACCTATTCAAAAAATATTTGCTCACAATCAAACATCAATTTATGTATGCACACGTAAATCTATAAATCACTCCTATTTTTTTTGTATTTTAGTTTCAAGATTGTTTTCAAAAAAAAAGGAAAATTTGCTAATGTAAAAGCATCAGAGGCGTTAATGAAGAAGCCTCTTTTTTTAATTTTTCGTTAGTTTGGCGAGACACCTTAAAATAACACGCATATTTTTTGTGGTTATTTTTTTTTCAAGGAAAAAGATCTCGAAACAACAAGTCGATATGGTAGTCTCTTTATGATAAAAGTAAATTTCATTTATATCATTAGGAAAAAACCGCTCAGACGAGAAACAAAAGTTTTTTTTTCTCGCTACGAATAAAATGGCACAATAGTTGAAAGTATGAGAAGAAAAACAAAGAGAAAGCATTTCTCCGTAAGGTTTTTAAGTAAACAATTACAACATTAAAATATACCGCAAAGAATTAAATCGAGTAAGACTGATTTTTTCTAGAGGGTATAACAATCATTTTTTTGTTTTCCTTATACAGTTATTTTCATCCGTAAACCTTGAAAGTTTAGTTTTAACTGTTTTCGATAAAACTCACTGTTGTTTAACTAATTTTCGTTAAAAAGTAAAATAATTTATTATGTATTCTTTTATGAAAAGAAAAAACAAGCGAATGTGGTATGTCAAATCGTTTGAAAAACCAAAAAGAAAAGAGCATTTTAATTGGTCATCAAAAATGACTTTCTTGTAGGAAAGAAGAATGGATTTTTCTTCGGAGAGAAGAAAAAAGGGTGCATTTAAATATACACCCGTAAACCACAGAAAAAAAGAAATCACGAATGTTTGCGTCGGATCAACTTTACACGGGCAACAATATCATCGACGAGTCGTGTGTAGTTCTTTTGGTTTCCCACATACGCGTACGTCACTACTCACATCTTATTCTATATTGCGCTTATTCATGTTCACATCGTCAAACGTTTTATTCAATGTCAAAGCGAGAAAAGAAAACCAGTGTTTATAAGTTTGTTTTCAACAACAACCATCGCACAAGAAGCCTACCATGTTTTTTTTCTCTTGATTTTTTTCCCTCATCTTCCAGCCACTTCTCTTGGCATGTTTACATTCAAAGTATGAAAAATATATAACTTATTTATTAAGATTATTTAAGAGTTCAAATATGTTTGGTTAAAAAGGATGCACATCGCATTAATTATCATCCGGATTTTTCATCTCTAGATAAATATTCAATAACAACAAAATTCTCTCATGAGAAACGTTGAACGGGATGATCGATGTTGTTCACCATGTCACAATCGTCAACCATTATCTGTTGCTTTAACAAAACCGTGCAGTCGTGATAGATGCGATATACCGGTTTCTTGTGAAGATGATTTTGCATCAATGCAGAATCATCACGGTCATTCAATAAAATCATGCGGTTGTGATATGTGCGATATGCCAGCTCGTTGTGAACGCGATTTTGCATCAGTTCAGAATCATCATGGCCATGGAAAAAATCGACGACTTGTACGAGAATACTTCAGTATGTTTATGTTCACGAGAAAAAAGTCCAAGCCTTTAAATATTTATCAAGTTATTTTATTTAAATACAAATAGGTGATTTTCGTCCTATTGCTTATTACAATTCATACTGGTGGGCACCACGACCAATGACAATGACACAATGGGCACCAGCACCAGCACTGCTACCAATGACAATGATACCATGGAGATCACCATCATTTCATCATGGTTTTGGAGATGGATTCTTTAGACATTTCGGTAAACATTAAATAACTGAAATTCAAAACGAATCATTTCCTTGAGAAAAATTAGGCGCGGTAGAAATACAAGAACAACGGTGCCGACCTTGTCGTTGTGTCGTAAGATGTGTTCATCAACCAGCGAAAATTGTTAAACAATTAACAATACGATCACGACCTACATCTTGTCATGATCTTCGAGAACGTAAATAATCGATTGAATTGTTTTGTTTTGTTTTTTATTAAGTTTTGTACATATTTTAAATGAAGACCATCGACATGACAAGCGCGTTGATGTACATCACCATATTAATGTTAACTGCAATCATGCGAGTATTTTCTTCTCTTCTTATTTATATTGTCCATTCTGATTTTTATGGGATATTTCAATTAGGCACAGCATCACCACCGCCACCGCCACCACTACCACGTTGCTATAAAAAAAAACATTATGAATACATGGTTTTCTTTTTGACTGTTTTAATTTAGCTCGACCAAGTACAACCGATACTGGAACAGCTGCGCCTACTATAGAAAAATCATCTCGACCACCTTTAACTACCTCAGGTATAATAGATACAAGATACTTTTGAAATCGTTATGAGAATTGAATAATTAAATAGAAACTGAAAGATTCGATCGTTTTGAAGAGGAAAAAACAATCAAACAAGATAAAGTCATAACAAGTTAGTAAATCTGTATATTCGGTAAAAAATGAATTTCTCTGCCATTTAGAAATTACTCAAAAGACTTGCGTAGTCGAAGAACCAGTGAAAGTTACTACTTACGAATGTAATCAGCATTTTGATTTTAACTTTGTTTTTGTTTTTCGTTTATTTAACATTCTCGTATCATAGGTAGAAAAACAAGCAATTATCAACGTGCTGACGCTGTTAATCAAGTAGAACGAAGCAAAATTTCAATAGGAGGATATCAACAAATTGGAGGATACCAAAATAGTGGAGAATTCCAACAAACTCAAGAATTTCAACAAACAGGAGGACATCAACAAATCGGAGGATTCCAAAATAGTGAAGGATTTCAACAAACTCAAGAATTTCAACAAATCGGAGGATTCCAAAATAGTGGAGGATTCCAACAAACTCAAGAATTTCAACAAACAGGAGGACATCAACAAAGCGGATCTTTCCGACGAATTGGATGTTGTGAACAAACAGGTAATACATTTTTTCTATTTGATTAGCATTACATGTTTTCATAAATAGCTTTATTTGCTAGAACGTCATATTTCTTTTTCTTTTTCTTTTTTTACTAAGACAAAAACTAATATTGAATCAAGCAAAAAAAAATAACAGATCAATTTTTATTCAGGTATAATACAGGTTTTGACATATCAAGTTAAAACGCTTATGTTAAGCAAAGTCATTCAATAACAAGTTGTAGAGGAGATTTGATAATAAATCAATATATCAATCATGACTATTGGTATTAACACAGAAAGTCCTTGAAAAGACTGTTGATTGTTGAGTCGAGAACATGCACATCTATTAATAACCTATGTAGAAGTCAGGAGTTCCTTTTCCACCGCCAATAATTCTAGATTTATAGAATTTTCTCTAACTGAATGCCACTGCCTAGAACAAATATGAAAGTGACTTATTCAAAGTCTCATTTTGAAAATTGCACCACAATAGTTTATTGGGGGAGTGTTAAGTTTTTTTATTTATTTTTTTACTAAAAATTGAAAGGCAATTCTTTTTCTGAAGTGCATAAATAATATAAAAAAAAGATACATTTTCAATACAACCGTATGCCAGTACTTGAATACAATAAAATATTCTCGCTAATATAGGCTACTATGAAAAACTAGTTTTTGAAACATTCTCGATACAGACTAAGGTATTGAATTAGCACATCGAGTGGTTCAGGAAGTTCCTACGTTCGGTCAAAGATGTTTCACCTCGTTGTCGGATTAAAGAAATTGACAAAAATAGCAATGAGTGAAAGAACCTGACGAGCATAAAAATTTTTCTATCGATTTTAATTTGATAAGTTCTATAATCAGTGAACTCAACAGTCGATGATTCTTAGATACTTATTAGTTATCTCTTGGTTTCGATGTTTTTATCCTAGTTTTTATTGAAGATCATTATACTGGTTACGCATGCACTTTTGTTCTGTTAAAGTTTTTTGTTTTTGCTTTCAAATAAAATATTTATTTTAGGTTCAGGTGTATCAACGTCAGTATGCTGTTCATCAGATAACGTTTTGAACGAAGAAAATAGACATTTCGCGTATGAATCACTATCACCTTGTATTCGATCCATCGATAATGCTTCAAAAACAATCGATTCGATTGAAACCTTCTCCTGTTCAACACAGCCATTTATTACTCAAAAAACGTCCGAAACTCGAAGAATCGTTACATCAAATTAATTCTATATGATTATCATCATTTTTTATAACAAAAACAGTTTTCTTCGCTATTCCATACTTTCCTTTTTTCTTTTTCTTTCTTTTGTTCAGATATATCCATTCTTATGTCCTTCATATACTAATAACCATCATAACTAACGAGATAGAAAGACAAAGTGTAGATAGATTATTGTGTTTTGCGTATATTTTAATTAACAATTTACTCTCTATCATTTGTATCAAAGAAGGTAACGCACTCGTGAAAATTTTCTTTGAAATATAAAAAGAAAGAAAAATGAATATTTGATTGTTATATTCGTATTTATATGGCTTGATACATGTAAAGCATGTAACCAACTCAGCCATCTTATTTTATTTTAGCGGTGGTTATTTTAATTTCACTACGTTCGCTATGGCTACAGAAAAAACAACAACATTTGCATAAAAATACCAAGATTCGTTAACAAGGCATGGTTAGAAAATCAACATAAGTATATGTAGGAAAGCTTCCCACAGTTTATTTTTATATGTTATATCTATGTTAAGCGACTCTGTATATTTTGTTTTAATCGGCACAAGTAATGGGATACCCAAAAAAAAACATAACTGTCATTTCATGCATTTTTGTTTGACAAAATATCCGCATTAAAGTGATACGTTTTGTAGAATGTAAATATCTAGGTAAAAATAGGCTCTTATGATCGAATCAGAAATTCAAATATAATTCTAAAAAGTAGAAACCACTTTCTGTTAAATGTCTCGATGGTAGAAAAATAAAAGTGTTTTTATTAGGAATTTCTAAGATCTGTAGAAAATTTTGTTGTTCAAAAAAAGGGGTTCAAGATTTCTTTTACCCTTATGTGTATCGGGGTAATTTGCTGATTATTGGTTGACTCATACATTGTTGACGAAATCAAGATTTTTTCTTAGTAGAACTTATCCTAGGGAAATTCATTCAAGAATTTATGTTCTTCTTTTATGTATTTTGTTTTTTTTCCAAAAACCGCTGAATTGACAAAGATCAGATTAAATTCTATTACCGGATTTGCAAAAATTGTCGATAGATGTAACTTTGAAATCATCTATGCGTCGAATCTACAATGTAATACTTCATATAGTAACAGACAGTTTGTTTCTTCTCAAAATTTACAAAAATAAGTTGTAACAGCTCTTTATTGAAGTTGTAAAGTTCGATAAGATACAAAAAGATCCTTTTCTTCTATTTCTTCAGTAGGCTTACTTTTATTCTCAAGGATTAAAATAATATTTCGTTTTCTCTTCCTACTACATCTATCTCTACAACACCAACGTAGTGTTGTACTCATAAAATGTTTCAGCCATGTTCGTTAAGTAAGTGCACTCGTATATCACGGGGAATTTGTGATTGTTGCCAGCAAAATCTTTGTCTACACCATATGAATGAACATAATGTCTCGCTGATTTCTCAAGTGAATCCTTTGATTGATGAAATCAATTCACTTGAAAATCGATTCAAAATATTAAACATTAAAAAAACAATGGGCGATAATCGTCAACAACTTGAAAAATGGCGTGACAAATGCCATGAGAAGATCGATTGTTTTTTTGAAGAAAAATGTCAAGAACATAATCGACTTGTCAATCAAAAAGTTGATGAACAACGAAAAGAAATCAGAAGAATACAATCGAAAATAAATGAAATTATAAACATACAAGAAATAACTCGTCAAGATATCGACTCACTGGCATCTACAATTCGTCAACTCGAAAAAAATATGAGCAATATCGAACAAGCATGTTTTAAGGTCCAAAGTCATCCATTAGCAATCGATGATAACATTATTATTATTAAGGAGTTAACTGAACATGAAATAGATCTATCAACTCTTTCACCAGCTTACAAACAAATGCCTCGTCCCAAGGAAAGTTTTTAATTACTTAGTAGCAATAGTCGATACTTATTAGTACATCAAAAGCCTAATTTATGTTTCTATGATCGAGAACTGAACATAGCCAAACAAATACTATGGAAATACGGCAACATTTGGGACGTCTGTTGGTCATCAACATTAGAGCGATTTATTGCGTTTGAACAAAATAATATCTTTCTTATCAACGACAATACAATGTCAGTTCATTATGTTCATACAATTAAGCAACGAGACTGGGTCTCGTGTACATGTTCCGATACGGTTCTTTATGCAACTACAAATAAACAGCCTTCGTCTATCATGGAATTCACCTTAGTGCCAATATCCTATTACATGTAGTAAAGATGAAACTATTTACGGGATCATTTATAATAACGAAAATCTTGCTCTGCTGGTTAAAAATCTAGCCGAAGAATTACTTCGGATCGAATTAAGACGCGCCACAACATTCGGCCGCATCTGGTCAGTTCAACTCAATATTTGCTGCGTTCAGAAGACAGTGTTTCGTTGTTGTTCACTCACTTGCAATGAATGGCTTGTTGTCGACTATGAGACTAAGCGCCTATTACAAATTACAAAAGAGGGGAAAATAAAGAAAATAACTCAGTATCATCAACAGCCAATTCATGCTCTTCTATTTGACGAAAACAAACTAGTTGTGTCAACTGTAGCAACCGTCAATCTACATAAGATTCAATGACTGCTCTGTTTTTAGTATTTTAGTTAGTTTTTTTTTGTTAGATCCGAAACTCAATTTAGAAATGACTAGCTAGATATTCAATAGCATATTATTTATTTCGCATTGCTAAGGCTATTAAGGTCTATTTTCTTATCTGCAAATACAACATGAAATCTAGTTAACAAATACAAATGGAATAAATTATATTTAATGCAACGTTGAAAACACGAACATAAAATTGATAATTTACGAGCAAAACAACACTTGTAAGAGCCATAAAACTCTGAATGCTTGCAACAATCTTCGTACTAGAAATCCAACGTAATCAAAAGTAGCAATTGAAATTTTAAAATATAAATTGATGCTTTAACCACACAGCTAACTGTGAAGATTCTTGATAGATGAAATATTATTGTGATGGTATATTATACTTTAGTTTTACCCTTCGTATCATACAATCGTATCGTTTACATACATAATCAGAAGAGATAAGAAAAGGACAGAGTACGAGAGAAGGAAGAGAAGATTCAAGAAGGGAAAGATCATTCATGATAAATAGTTACTAGAGAAAGAAAATTGAAGTTAGCGATAAGAAGAGATGACAGGGAAAGGCTAAATAGTATGCTTGACTAGTAAACTCAATTAAGCTTTCAAAGTAAATCTTGATACACAATAGACTGAAATGGGAACGTCCCGTTAACAAACTGTTTTTTTTTCTCTCAACAATATGAGATTCTCAAAAACCTTTAAGAACACACACACACACATATATATATATATATATAACTATGAAGTTACTCAATATCGCCCTCAGAAAAACATTCCAAAGCATATGCATTATATCCTTTAAAAGAAAATTGTTTATTCATGAAAACGAATTAAAATATCTATGAAAGAGAATCGTTTTGCCTATCAATTAGCAAACAATCTATCATATACGAAAACAATGCAGATAAAAATGTGACCTCTAATGTCATATTTGTTTATAAACAGAACACAACAAACACCTACATAGCAAACGTTATCGACTAGCATGCCACAATATTTTATACTTTTCTTTGCCTTTTCCACCCTCATGGTTTCGTGTGTATCAAACGAATTATTTTCGTAAACCGTATAGTACCTCGAGCATAGTAAATAGGCCGTTTTTTCGTTTTGTTTCTATGCAATGAATCTGTTATTGGTATAGGGAATGCATAGTTATTCTCGGCAAATGATTATTTTTTGCGATATTCACAATGCAAGAAAAACTCTCAAAATTTGATTATACTAATAAAATATTTCAATTGTCGCTGCTACATGTGCTCGTATATCACAGGAATTTTGTAATTGATTTCAACAAAATCTGTCTACAGCATTTGAATGAACACAAATGTTCACTGATTTCTCAAGTGAATCGTTTGGCTGATAAAATCAGTGTACGTAGAGATTGTCTCAAAATTTTGATTATGAAAAAAATTGTTGAATATAGTGGTCAAACCACTTGAAAGCTGTTGTGAAGGTTGTCATAAAAAGGTTCACCACCTTTTTTAATAGAACGGTTAAGACCTTGATCAAATTATACAGAAGAGATTCTAATAACATAAAAGAAATTGATGATATTTCATACAGTTTCTCGTTTGGTACAATTGAGTCGTAGGCAAAATTAAATGATCGAGTGTAATGGAAACTCATTCATCCATTTTCAGAAAATCACAGTTTGATTCACGATGAAAGCTAAAAATGCAAAAATCCACGAGATTTCATGATTATTTGTACCGTAGAAACTTTGAAAAATCAAAGCATAATTTTTGATAGAATTAATATTACATTTTGTTCACAAATCGATGATGATTCCTATTACATATTTTTGTGAACAAGAACAGCATATAATGTTTAAGGGTTCAAAAACAGTCTCAGTTTTCTATTCCCATAAAATCTTATCGCAGGCTGCTTCTAAATTAATGTATCATTGTTGATAGCAACATTAAATTGATATCTGATTCCAACATGTATCCAAAGAATGATATAAACTTTGAAAAATGCTCTCGAAAAACACGGGCATGTGTTAATATTTGACTTTTAAAATCGAAGAATCTGATTAAATACTGTATGAACTGATCAAGCCAAGATATTCTCAAAAGCTGAGAGCAGTACTGAACGATATTTTTCGTTCACAGGATTATGAAGCCTGCATGATATAGCTATAGATAGCTTGTTTTTATAACTTCGTAGTGACATATAGTTGAAAATCAATTTGAATTCAAATAACAAATATCTTATAGTACCATTGGTACCAGCCTATTACCATAATAGCTGCTAGTTTCTAGAAAATTCTTTTTTCAAGTTATTCATCTAGTAATGATGATAGCAGGTCTGATTCATGGACACCTAATATTTACTCGGAACTGATATGGTATATCATATTCTATCGGTAAATCATTTTTTCTAGTCAACCATTCTTACTCAAAGGCATATCGAATTCTCTTCTCTTATATAAAGTTACAGGCAGAAACTATAAAAGTGAATTTTCCCTGTTGTAAAAAAACTCGTAACGTTTTAGTGTTAGCACACATTTAGAATTAAACTAAAAATTCAGATTTTGCCTATGAATACGAGTCACAACTAGACCATTATTCGAACATAACGAGTTTTCCCCAGTAATCAGAAACCTATTTCTCGTCATTTATTTACGTTTTATAATATTCATTCGTTTCTTTTCTTCTACCAGTCTTGCTCTGGCGGACTGAATTCATATGAGATTCAGATTTTCCCACTGCGGAAAACTATCGTTGAGTTCTACGAGAAAAATTATTATTCTTTTTTCTTGATTAATACCGTTGTCTTTGTTGTAAAAGTATAACTTTCATTCTGATTTCTATGAAAGTTCACAGAACCTTCTAATAAAGTTCAGTTCTCATGTGCTACATTTAACACGCACACACACAGTAACGGCCATGTTTTGCCATAGCAGATTCGTCGGAAGCAGTATGCTTTTATTTGTTCTATACAAATTCCGAATTCCGTTTTACTGTTCCAACGAACAAAAGAAATCTCGTTTCATAATTCTCCCTTCCACTCAAATATTTACTTCAACAGAAACTTTATGAAAAAAAAAACAATAAGCTTCATCAGTCAAGTAAAAATCCATACGCCTACAGTAACTAACAGCTGATCGATGATGACACCAGGTCGATTCTTTACTCCATTACTTTTTTCTTTTTTCCTCCATCAAGTATGCTAACTGTGTTGAAAACACATTAGCTTTGAAAATTATAAAACATTTAATTATCAATAATAATTATTTTCTACTGTTTTCAAGAAGATATTTTAATCGTTCATAATTAGCGCTATGTGCAATTCGAAATAGATGTTTTTCATCCACCGATGTTAATATGGACACAGAAAGAGTATAACGGAAGAAAGAAAAAATAGAGAAGTCGTTGGGTGTAATACTCATTTTCTCTCTCTGTATAACAGATGGTTTTCTGTATGTAAGTTTAGCTTAAAGATGTAAGATAGCAGAATGAGAAAGTTCTATCAGGGACTCGTTTTTTTACTCCATTATTTTTTCAAAATCATAAAACAAATAAATTATTGGACTAGTTTTCTTCCTTGAGACTTTGTCTATTTCTTCATCTAATCTTTTTATTTTTCACTGAATAGAAAATGATAAAATTCGGTTTCGAAATAAAGAACATTCATGTTTTCTTATTTTTTATTTTTTTTTTTTGTTCAATATTCAATCTAATTTCGATCATCTGACATTGTTTGCCCCATAGTAATTTGAATTTTTCTCTCTTTCGTTCTGTTTATTTCCCCTACCAACCCTATTAAACATCGTCGACGTTGTCGTCGGCGCCTTTTTCTCCCCTATTTATTCTTTTTCTTCACTATTAGAACGTACGTAGAAGGCAAGCTTGCGTTCGGCAGCAAACGCTTGTTGCAATCTCTTTCTTTTCGTCGACATTGTTGTCTTCTATGTCCTCCACATTAATAATAACAAAAGAAAAAATACACATTGGTAAATATGAAGAGAAAAAAAGTTGTTTTTTTTTCTTCTATTTCTAGATATCTTTCTAGCTGTACGGCAATTTGAAAACCTGATTTAATTACATATATCCGTTTTTATTGTATCTTAGTTTCCGTAGAATGGCATTGAAACGAATCAATAAAGAATTAGTTGAACTGGAAAAAGAGTGAGTACCGAATGAAATAATTAAAAAAGAAATTTCATTATTGTTGGTTTTTTCTTTTTGTTTTTAGCCCACCGGCCAATTGTAGCGCTGGCCCTGTTAATGATGATATGTTCCATTATAAGTATCTCTATTCTTAATATTCATTGAAGTATGTTTTTGTTTTTTTCTTATACGGCAGGCAACCATAATGGGACCAGGTGATAGTCCATTCCAAGGCGGTGTATTTTTTCTATCAATTCACTTCCCGGCTGATTATCCTTTTAAACCACCCAAAATCACGTAGGTCTTTATACTATTTGTTGGATCATTTTTATTCAATTTGTTGATAATGCTGCGTTTAGATTTACAACGAAAATTTTTCATCCAAATATTAATTCAAATGGAGCTATATGTCTTGATATTCTTCGTTCACAATGGTCACCGGCATTAACTATTTCTAAAGTGTTACTCTCGATTTGTTCACTGCTTTGCGATCCCAATCCTGATGTAAATTTTTTTTTGTTTTTCATAGAAAAACATTGAGAAAATTTCTTTTAGGACCCATTGGTGCCTGATATTGCTCGCACGTATAAGACGGATAAAGAGAAATATAATGCAGTAAGTATATTTATTATTTTCAATTGAATTCGAGTTAGATTTTTGATGTTTCTGTTTTAGACAGCGCGGCAGTGGACTCAAAAATATGCCATGTAAAAATTTCATAGACATGATCAATTGTGCAACAAACAATCATCAAGAAAAGAGACTAAAATACGTTTGATATAAACAACTTTTTTTTCATGTTTGTTTGTTCCTTTTTTCAATAGCACACATTTACTTATTTTGTCCTCTTTCTTTTTAAGTTCGTCTTTCTTTTTCTTTTCTTTTTTGTTCGTATGTTGGAATGAAGACAAAGAGACATAGAATTTTCTTTATTCGTTGATGTTAACATCTTGTCCTTATTGTATCTATATGTATGTACGATGTTTGTGTCCATGTTACGGAAGATGAGTAAGCAAAAAAAAAACGAAAAAAACTCTCGACAAAGTTTGATAGATAAAAAGTTCATGTTATTTCTCAACCATATGATACATTTACGAAATTATCTATGAGTTTTTTTCTGTTCTTTCTTTGCTCATGGCCTCCGTGTGTTTATTGTCTTTGTCTATCTCGTTTTCTTCTTTTTGACTAAACAATTTCAACGAAATTCATGTAATGTGTTTACCAACTATTCGAGAGAAAAGAAAGAAAGAAAATAACAAACCGATTGATTTTTGTTTCAATTTTTTGTCGTAAGAAGGCAACAGTCATAATGATGTCACTAAGTATTTGACCTGTGGTGTTTTTGCAGATATAAAATTTCCCCGATCACCTTCTTTTTTACATAGCATAATAAATCTTATAGTGTTTCTTGATTTTTATTTTAGATTTTTATTTCTATCGGATAGCCTCAAACATTAATTTCATAGTCGAACATGTAAGTATAACTGAAATAGAAACTTGATTTTATTGAATTTCAATTTCGATTTATATTCGTCTTACCAGTTATGAATAATAGAATATGGATCAATAAATGACGAAATATCCCTTCGATGAATTTAATGTTACATCCTTCTTTCATTTTTCTTTTCTACGAAAAAATTCTATATAAATAAACTTCTACAATGTATGAGTTTTATTCGAGTTATGCGCTTATGTGAACTCGCTGTTGCGTTTCTAATATGATTGTATTTTATATCACTATCATAGCTAGGTGATGTCATTTATAAACTACAACTAGACGTTTTAATAATTTCTTTCCTCATTAATGTTTCCGATTATGTTCCTTTAATTTGATTATTTTGATGATAGATCATCTTTTAAATACAGACCCTAGAAATATTCCCAAAGGGAACATAGAATAACTTAGCATCCCTTTTAATACGAGGACATAAAATATTTATTTTACATGAAATAATAATCATGCAAAACGATATTTTGTTTTTCCTTGTTATTCTCTCTGTATGGGCCTATTGAAAATCGTTGTGTAAAGATGAATTATTAATTTAAAATTTTTATTTATGAGAGATATTTCATCTACTTTATTCAAAAATGAATCTATTCGTACTTGAAGTTTAAAACTGCTCATGTCGAAACAATCGAGTTTACTTTTTAATCATCACACGGGAACATAGATTACATTCTACATCGTTTTAAATAATTAACTAACTCATTGGTTTGTAAAATCTTTAAAGATTTAGATAGAGTCAAAATAATGGCACTTAAACGCATTTCAAAAGAACTACAAGACTTACAACGTGAACCACCAGCGAACGTCAGTGCTGGACCAGTAAGAATCCATTAGAAAAAAGAAGAAGATATATTATAAGAATTAATTTCTTTTTCAAGGTTCAACCAAATGATATGTTTAATTGGCAAGCAACAATTCTTGGTCCCAGTATGAACGTGTACTCGAATTTAATTTTAGACATTTTTTTTTAATTAGGCGATTCACCATATCAATCAGGTGTATTTTTCCTTTCGATAAATTTTCCAACTGACTATCCATTCAAACCACCTAAAATCACGTAAGTTGCGCGTTTGTCATTTTGTGGCTGGCATGTGTGAAAATGAATTTTTTTTATTATTGATTTAGATTTACAACGAAAATTTATCATCCTAATATAAACTCAAATGGTGCAATTTGCCTTGATATTCTTCGAAGTAATTGGTCACCGGCGTTAACAATTTCGAAAGTTTTATTATCAATTTGTTCGTTATTGTGCGATCCAAATCCAGATGTATGTTTTGTTTTCAATAGTCAAATTCAGTTTAAATAAAGTTCTTTCTGGGTTTTTTTAAGGATCCACTTGTACCAGAAATCGCTAGACAATACAAACAAGATCGAGAAGCATATAATGCAGTAATTAGATCAAAATAAAATTTTAAATCTAATTTTCTTTTCTGAAATTTAGACTGCTCGACAATGGACACAAAAATATGCTATGTGATTATCATGCTGTCTCCTATTTTCTTTTTGTTGTGTCTATTACAGTGAACTAGAGCAAATAAATAAACACTTTTTTTTGTTTCTCGCTTGCGAAGTTCGATGTATATAAATAAAAACATAAGAAGAAAAACAAATTTGAAATTTCATGGTATAACTTAGGACAATGACGATTATAGATGACAAGCAATCTTTGAATCGAAAGAAAAGGAATAGGTTACCGATAGGCACGCATTTAGTCGTTTACGATTTGTGACAATGTCCTTAAGAATCATGGCCCTATTGTATAAAATATTCTTTTATGTATTTCTTTCGTTCTGTGCACTAAGAGAATATAATCCTTCGGATATAAGACACTCGTGAAATAACCATGTGGCATCATTTCTTGTATTTATTTCTATACGTAAGTATGATCAGATGCGTCATCTACAAATGTTTTAAAGATAAACTTTCGATTCAAATTCTACAATATCTACATAATAATGTAAAAACAAACAAACAAAAAAACACTACTTAACTATGACTCTCTGACTCATACACCTGCATATCGTACGATTGTGGTGTGCTTGTTTAATTATATATTTATGTGTGTGTGTGAAGAGTATTGCACATAAATATATATATATATTATATTTTTTAACTTTATTTTTATAGATATATTGAGTATATAGAACATCAAAAAATGGTTACTTTGGTATCACATATTTCTAATTATTTCGAACAATTTAATAGTTCATTAACAAACGATTTACTATCAACAACTCATGGTCTCTCAGCAGATACAACACCAATCTCCTATTATGTATTCGATTTTGAACGTTATAGTGATAAAATAGGAACACTACATGATTTGCGTAAATTTATGATTCAGCGTTGGCATAATAGTTTTTTCTATGCTATTACATATCTATTACTAATCTATGGTAAAATTAGCAATAAAAAAAAGGCTTCTTTTATTTTCTATTAAAAATGTTTTATTTTCTATTCAAGCCGGTCAGATTTATATGAAAAATAAGCCAAGATTTGAATTACGTTATTGGTTGGCTGCATGGAGTGGATTACTTGCTTTATTTTCTATATTTGGAGCAATTCGAGTTCTACCAGAATTAGTTTATGTAATTTATAGACATGGAATTAAATATTCAATATGTAATAATTCCAATGCATTCGGTGTTGTAGGCTTTTGGTATGAAACAAAAAATATATGCGAACTTTTTGTTTCGTGTTCATGAAGGCTGATCTATTTCAGGACATGGGCGTTTTGTTTTTCGAAACTACCAGAATTAATCGATACGGTCTTTATCGTTCTTCGTAAACAACCATTAATATTTCTTCATTGGTACCATCATGCATCTGTATTAGTTTATTGTTGGTTTAGCTATCAAGATTACAGCTCAACTGGCAGGTGAATATAACAGGAAAAGCGATTGATTGCAACAGACAATCAATGTTTTCTTATTTTAGATGGTTTTGTGGATTGAATTATGTTGTTCATGGAGTTATGTATTCAGTAAGTAACATGAAAAGTTTTCTTTTTCGAATTAATTTCTAGTCGTTTATTTTAGTATTATGCTTTTCGTGCTTTACGATTTCGAATACCACGTTGGATATCAATGATAATAACATTACTTCAATTAATACAGATGGTTGTTGGATGTTTTATTAACATAAGAGCATGGCAATATAAAAAGAACGGTGAATCCTGTCAAGTCACCGATGAGAATCTGAAAGTTTCATTTGTTATGTATGGAACATATTTCGTATTGTTTGCTCAGTTTTTTCTGGGCTCATATATCGTTAAAAAATCTCATGGAAAAAGTCAGAAAAATGCAACGCCTAAAAAAGTTGATTAAATCACATCGAAAATTATCTTTCAAAGTCTATGTCACCCATCAATTAGGATTCTGAGTTGTTTTTGTTATAACGAAACATCATTGTTATTGTATTGTGATAATTTCAACGATAGTTTACCATTTTGTTCGTTTTGTGTGTTTACTGTTTTTTTTTTATCTTTAGGAAAGAAAAAGAATCTATTTGAATTTGGTGACACAATTTAGCATTTGTTTTTTCTATGATACAACGAAAGAAAAGAGCATTACTACGTTCCGCAGTAATTCGCAAGTACTAAGTTGTGATTCATATACGTTTTGTTTTCCTCTAATGAGACCTTCTCACCTGAGATATGCGCCTAGATTTGTTTTTGGTCGTTTTTCTGAGTGCATAATTATATTTGCTCACCTATGCCCATTTTATGCACTGTTATGAAAGCGGATGACTAATAGGAGAAATCTCAGGTATTAGTATGTTCTAGAATGGTGAATCAACTCCGTAGAGACAACTTTTTACTGATATTGACAAATGAAGGATATATCTTGGTAATTTTAAATTGATTTCTAATAAAATTCAAATTAGACACGACCGCTATTTTAGAATATTGAATCAGGGATTGAATTTTCAAGCGCTCAGCGTTTCGCTGAGCTATCTTCGATAAAAAAACTGATGTTATTCTTTTTGTCACAATTGTCATTTCCTGATATGTGCTCTGCAAACTCTATATCCATAAACATGCAAGAGAGTGTTCTTTTAGATGTTTTTTCTAATATCGGTTTTTATTCCGACGAATTACATGTACAGAAGATTTCGGCTACTGTAGACGAGACAACAATATTTTGCGTTCTTGGAATCTTACTGACCAGACTGGCAGGCTACTCGTGAAAATATCTACGTAATATCACGGAGTGAGATAATAATTTGTGTCTTAGCGTCTTAATGAGGGAGAAGACTATGATTATTATCCTTATATTCCATGAGAATAGTTTATATTTAACATTTTCATCTATCTCGACCTGAATTGTTCATATTGTTGCGTATGTTCCTTTTCAAATATTGTTTCAGTCTGTTTTTAACGGTGGTACAGATCAATTCAAAATTTCCTGCGCATTTGAATAAAAGTGATTTCGCAGAAGATCTTGCTAATTGTATAATTCATAAGTACAATTAATGATCATGAACTTAGATTAAACGTTTCTTGTGCTTGTATATACTGACTATTTTAATCTGATATCAAAACTTATTGTTGAGGAAGCTATGAAATCCCATAAAACTAGTAGTTTGTTCTATTTTAAAAATTGCATCGAAAACAAAAATCTTCCTTTAGTGTAATGAACTACATCGTTGATTGATTGGTCCTTTTGATAAAAAAAACAATATGGACTCAACTCTAGGTTTTTGCTAGAATTACAAGCATAAGTCATATGCTTTTATTTGTTTACGATTAGCGTAAAGCTCATTAAAAAAATGTTTTTATCTAAATTTTTCGTGAGAAGTAAGGTTATGTGCTCTTCACCGTATGTTACGGACTGTTTTGAAGTAGTTGAACTAGGTGAATGAGGGAGGAGTTCTTTTTACTACAGTACACATTTCTTTAAACTAATCATAAGCTAATATATGTCAAATTACTTTTTTTTCTAAATACAGAGGTATCACTTCTCTTAAGTTAAAAGCACAAGAGAAAAATGAATTACCAGTAAAAATAGGCTTTAAGCATCGAATATTCATAGTTAGGTAAACTTAATTAGTTGACTTTGAACGAATGGCGCAAGTTCTCTGGCAAATTCCAAAAGTTGCACTTTCTTAATCGAAACATAAGAGGGGTTTCGTTTTTTTTAGATCCAGGTCTCTAGGAGCTTAGTCTCTTGAAATGCACTTCAAAATACCTTCGCCATTCGAAAAAATAGTGCATCGTATAATACTTTTAAAGCTGAACAAAACTAGCGCTATGAGGAAAATACGAAAATAAAAATAAGCAGAAACTGAATGCTTAGAAAAAAATGACGAAACATCACTTGAAAATTGTTTTTAGAAAATCCAGAAAAGTTGGCTTCTCTAAATCATAGAAGGCAACATATATTTTGAAATCCAAATAGATCAAAATGATCAGCTAATCGAGTTCTACAAATGCTGAACTTTTCGCGTTGAAAGAAGACAGTTCATGTAAACGTGGTATAATTCCCATGGAAACACCCTGTTATTATTATTAGTTGCTGTAGACATTGAACTGTGAAAGTCGAAAACAACGTCTATTTTGAATTCATTATAACTTTATTGATATTCTGCGATAGTATCATGTTTATCACTGGATTCAACAACGCATGGTAAACGTACTCTATCTTCATATTTTCACTGACCTCACACACATACAGAAACGAAAAAAGTCTTAACAAAAATGGCTTCGGCATATGTGTTCGGTCGTTAACGATGATTTTTTCCTTTCGTCGAAAAATTTCTTTAACATAGAACTTCTCGAGTGGTTTAATTTCTTAATAAGATTGTGCACTAATAAAATTCACTATTGTTCGTCATGCCGCGCATAGAAAATATGTTGGCAATCTTTATATGTAATTAGAAAACTCTAGTTGATATTGTGAGTCTTGAATATGATGAAAAAAAATTCGAATGTACCTTTTTGACATACATCAAAAGGATTTTTTTTCTAATCTTATGTACCGTCAAGATTGAGCTAGTATAAATAAAAAAAAGATCTGTATGAAACATGAACATGTTTTTTTTACTTCCATTGATATTTTAATACATAGATTCATTTTTTGAGAAAAAGTGCACCAAAGTTTGAAGAACCTCTAAAAGGAACTTTCTACATGAATTTGTTTTTGTTCTCTTCACATTGTAAATTGAAGATTGAACTGATAAAGAAAGTGATAAGAAACATAATTGGTAACGTGTTGCCTTCGTTCGTTTCAACAAGAATAATTCACATTCATAGTTTAAAAATAGTAATTTAATAACATCTTAGATTTTTGTTCGTTCTTACCAAAAAGAGAAAAATAAACAATGAGGTAGACGAGACATCAAATATAATGAGAACAATCTTATACACATTGCTTATGTAAAAATTTTTAAATACGTTTTTGTATACTTTTTTTCTTATCTTTCTGGTTTATATTATTTTCATAAAGATAAAAGTTGTTATTTTTGTTAATAAATGAAGTGAATACATTATATTTTTTTGTAATTTGCCTTTTTTTGCATCAAACTTCCTTATGTTGAATATGCCAACGCAATTAAGTCTGGTATCTCAGGTTTATTACTAAAAAAATCTAATCCTATACATTTTCTATATTATTCTAGCACTTCTATAAAAATTCTGTTGTCAAAATCCTATCCTACCTATACCTCGTACTCAGGTCGCTACGAAGCCCGGACATTGCACGGAAACTTTGTGTGATTTACTGAATTTGCTTTCAACTGCAGCTGTCACATTTTAATACTGATATTACGTAGTTATGTTTGTCACAAACAACCAAGATTATAACTTGGTAAATGATATAAATGAAGAAATTTTACACAAAAGGGTGCAATAACATATAAATCTTAAAAAGTTAAAAAAAAGATCGAAGTCATTCATTGAAAACGAAGTTTCTTATTTGTTAGCAAAGAAATTCTCTTATGAATTGTATTTTTTTAGTTCTGTAGAAATTTAGCAGCAAATTGATTATTAAGTTAAGTACAAGGTTTTGTTTAAGTAAATCTCATCATTTATTATTTGAATTTGCTCATATCGATTTACTATTTTCTTTAGTATATAATTTATATAGATGATCAATGAAATAATTAGAAACAAATAAGACACAGCACTTTCTATTTACTCTTCATTTGAAAATATTTTCCCATCACTATTTCTGAGTGAAATAAATGTTTTTCTGTGATGGTCACATAAGAATGATCTTATCTAGTTCATCATACATTTGACATTCGAATTTTAAATTTTAATGCTTTTTTTATCAGAAACGTGTATTTCAGTATAAATCAGGATTGCCACCTCATCAGGTCAGAAAAGCGGAAAGTTTGATCAAAAAGAGCGGGAAATAACGGAAATTAGCGGAAACAAAAATAGAAAAAACGGAAAAAAACGGAAAGCTGCTTTTTGCTGACCTTTCACATTTCCAACAGTTTAAGTAACCTTGTTTTATTGCTCATAGTACTACTTTGTTCGCAGTTCCACAACATAATAGACAACTCATAAAAAATATCAGGGCGTACCTGGCCTGAAACTCCAAGAAGAAAAGATA